CTGCAGATCACGTACTGCTGTAGCCCCATTGGAACGGCTGAAAATTTTACTTCAGGTTAGTTTGCTTTTCCTTGATGCTATTTTATGTTTGTGTTGTGTATAAAGTTCCTATCTTGATATGTTATAAAGAATAAACTTTTGTCACACTTCATGCACATCATTTCAAGGACCCCCATTTGATTTTCGAGAACAATTTTGATTAAGTTGTGTAGTCTACAAAAATTTATCACAGATTACATTAGCTGCATGTAAACAATTGCAGGTTCAAAATCCACATAACATAAAGTACAGTGGTACAGTTCAAGGCTTGAAATATATTTGGAGAACTGAGGGTTTTAGGGGATTGTTCAAAGGCAATGGGACCAATTGTGCTCGCATTGTCCCAAATTCTGCAGTAAAGTTCTTTAGCTATGAGCAAGCTTCCAAGTATGTTGTTTTCAGTGATGTAGTTCCACTAACAAAGATATTTTTAGTACATGATGATTCATGAGGTGCTGTTGGTCATTGATCTTTTGGATTTTCTGTATGTTGACCTGTTGGAGACCTCGAGATTCTGGTAGCACTTTAATATGCTAAAATAAATCCTTCCATTTGGCTAGCAGCTAGATTTTTTTTTCCCTTTTGTTAATTTGAGTTCATTCAGTTTCTGGTGGTTTTATTGTATGTGTTCCCTTTGTTGACATTTCCTTTTTATCATTGGAACAGGGGTATACTGTGGCTATATCGAGAGAAAACTGGAAATGGTATGTTCATTCTTCCTTTCTACCATGACATTGTTGAGGGGACATATCTTTTTGTGTATTACCTAATTATTATTTCTGAGTTGATCATCATTGAACATGACAATGGTTTAATATCCAAAGCAATGGATGCTTTTATTGCTCGGTTCAGTTTGTCCCATTTGTGCTTTTACTCATTGCACGTGGTTCTGTAGGTTTGAGTTGATTATGAGATCTGAATGTACTTCTGTTCTTTAGAAGCAAAACTTCTGGTAGTTCTTTAGGTTCTGGCTCCAGTCTTATTGTGATTGTCAAGATTTTGAGTTCATCTTCCTCATTTTTTATATGACCGTGTCTGCACAGGTATGCTGCTTTCACAACAGCAAATTATTTTCACTCACCAGTTATGTCAGGCAACTTGAGATTCTTTTGTGATATTAACTGATGTGGATTCTTTTAAAATTTGTTGATTTTCATGCCATTCTGTCACAGAATGTTGGCAGTTCTATGGCAACAAGTATGGAGTTCATTTTGAATCTTTAACCTTTTTTTGCAGAGGATGCTGAACTCACTCCTCTATTGCGGCTTGGAGCGGGAGCTTGTGCTGGAATAATTGCCATGTCTGCGACATATCCAATGGACATGGTACGAGGAAGATTGACCGTACAGGTAACTTTTCAAGTCTATCCTACAAATGTGATTACGTATGAAGCTTCTTACCTGTTAGCAGTTGGCCAAGAGGTGGCTATGACCTCATATCTTTTTTTAGCAGTTTTAGTCATTAATAGTCTCCATGTTACGATTACCTGTTAGCACTTCCATAACATCATATCCTTTGCTTGTTTGCAGACTGAGAAGTCTCCCTATCAGTACAGGGGAATGTTTCATGCTTTAGCCACTGTTCTCCGAGAGGAAGGCCCCCGGGCTTTGTACAAGGGCTGGCTTCCTTCTGTTATTGGAGTTGTAAGTTCTGCTTTTTGTGTGACTTACTTTATCTTTCCCTTCCAGTTAACCGTAAAGAAGTGCATTTAGCAGAGGTTTATGCTTTGCTTTGTTTCTTTTGAATTCTGGAGATTTTAGTACTGTTCATACTTCATCAGCGATCACAAGATACTTATTGTTGCAAGTAGTTCTCACTGGAGATTAACAGTAGCGTAAAATTGAAAAGTCTGTTTCCCTTTTTAGGTAATGGTGCGGCTTAGACAATTTCCAATGTATTGCAACTGATTCTGTATATTGTAGAACTTGTACTCCGACATTCGTCTATTGTGGGAGAAGAAACTGTTGTATTTATGCATCATGATGTTCTTCGTCTAATGTTCTGTACTCAATTTCCTTTCGGAGTAATTGGGTGCTATGATGCTGCATTTGAATTTTGCCTCTTTCTCCATCTGTAGAACTAATGTGGGGCAGGATGGATGAAGGAAGGAAATATTCTATTTTTCTAAGCTGTTGCATGCTTGGAGCTGGGCTTTGTGCCTTACTCTAATTAATCACATAATTTTTTTTGGGATAATTCTTCTGGAAAGTTATAAAATTTCCTAGTCTTTAGAGGTATTTCATACTTTGAAATGTTGAAGTGGACAGCTATATCTTGGTTATGGTTTGCATAGTGTGTACTTTTCTTTCCTGAGTTAATCGTTGCTGATTAGACTACTGATTTGATGCTCAAGACTTGCATGATAATCTTGTTCCCTATCGTCTTTTCTGTGGAACTCATATGAACAATGTCGTTTATGCAGATTCCATATGTGGGTCTCAACTTTGCTGTGTATGAATCATTAAAGGATTGGTTGGTTAAGGCTAAACCTTTTGGGCTTGTTGAAGACTCGGAATTAGGTGTTATAACAAGACTTGCATGTGGGGCTGCAGCTGGGACTGTTGGTCAAACTGTTGCTTACCCTTTTGATGTTATGCGAAGAAGAATGCAGATGGTGGGATGGAAAGATGCCGCTTCTGTTGTCACTGGTGATGGAAGGAGCAAAGCTCCACTTGAGTATACCGGCATGATTGATGCCTTCAGGAAAACTGTGAGGCACGAGGGCTTCAAAGCCTTGTACAAGGGTCTGGTCCCCAACTCAGTCAAGGTTGGTTTCTGAACCCTAGTAGCAATTTTCCTTGCTTTTGTCTCTATTTCTTCGTCCTCACATTTTGCATTTTGAGGTTCTAATTTACCTGGCTTCTGTTAAATCTGATTGATTGTGTATGTGTATAAATCTACATACTTATGTCTACACACGCACACACAGAGTATATACTACTCTGTCTGATACCATCCATCTTACATGCTATTTTCTGATGGGATGATTTTGAGTAGCATCCTAGCATGGATGGAGAGATTAAAGTTATTTACAATTTCGACAACAGATACTCATTTTTCCGATTTGGCCAAATGAAGCTTTCTTGCAAAAGATTGTGTGGAAGTGAAATAAATCCCATTCCAATAATATTTCATAAGATGTTAGGCAGGCTTACTCTAGAAATCTAAATATGGATGGAATGGAGTTAGTTTGCTTAATGTGCTTCTTCTATTGAGCAGTAGAATCGTAGATATCTGCTCGAAGTAATAGTTAACTTCATTTCTACACGGGGTATGGTTACTTGCATTTGGCTGATGATGTTGTTAAGCTGCCGATGGATGTGTTTTGTTTCCCAGTTGACAGAAAACTTTCTTGAATGCACTACCTGAGAACTCAGATTTTACTTGGTTGACTGTCTAAGAAGTCATTTTAGTCTTTTTAACGTCACATTGCCATCTTTATAAGTTGACTCATTCATTATATATACCATGAAAAGTCGGATGATATGTTTGATCAACTTCATTGTTAATTATTCAGGTCGTCCCGTCAATAGCTATTGCATTTGTGACGTACGAGCAAGTGAAGGACTTACTTGGCGTTGAGATCAGGATATCAGACTGACAAGAGAGCCTTGCATATTTTTTTTTTTTTGGGTTGCATGTGAAATTTTTATAGACAAGGAGAAGAGCAATCGCAACATGGTTATGGCCTCTCCATCCCTGAGAGAATTTAGAGACCTGCTCTAGTCTGTCTATATGTTGCTTCTCTGTTTAGCCATGTCTATATGTTTTGCCCTTCCAAGTGCTTTAGCATGTAGCAGTTGCCATTCAGATGATGTGTCAATAATGATATGGCTGACGAATATTGCAATAACTGCCTTGGTTGTGTCCCTGATAAAGCAGAACCCATCAGATTTATTGTGCGTCCGACGTTTCATCAGGAATTTTATTTTTGGTGGCTCATTTCAGTTTTTAAGAGATTATCCGTTGATAGAATGCGAAAGCTATGCATATTCTCTCAAATTGGAAGATTAAGATGAAAAAAAAAAAAAAAGAGTCACTGAACATGTAGGTCTTGCGGCGCTAGAGTGCTCGAATGCAGTGGGTATCTTTCTGCATCATCCCATTAGATAGACGGAACAAATGCAAGCCTTGAGTGGTCAAAGTCACCGTTCGGGGTCATTTGTGGCCTCTTCGATGCAATTAATCATTGAAAAGGCCATTAAGTAGATGGAAGAGAGAAACTTGTTGCATTCCAGTCTACTTGGAGAAGAAGTATTGTCCTTCATGCATAGCGAAGAAAAATAATAATAATAATAAGAACAGCGTATTATTATTTCCGTCAAAGCAAAAAAGGTGTTGTTGGTAATTGGTATGGGCCATCAACCACAAAACTAGCAGGTAAACAACGAAATTACACAGAGCACTACTCCTCCTTTGAAAAAGCAAAGCTGGTGCTTTGCATGCGGGCTCCCGAAGGTGCGGGACATGGGCGCTGTTGGGGTGTATTTTCACACTTGTCTGAAGTGCCTGTACAATAAAGAAGAAAAAAGATCAAAAATTTTCTTCTATATATTTTTTAAGAGTTGAGATTGAGAGAAGAGGCTCATTAGGCTTTACCTGCAATCTCTTGCCCTGGTCTGAAACCTCGCAGATTGCCGTTCAGGAGGAGCTCTGAACTCGCACATCTGTCGCTTTCTAATTATCTGTAAACTTGGTGAGAGGGGGTGCCTCGGTCTTGAATCTTTGTGGGTGTTTTCATCAAAATTTTCTAAATCTAAACATTCTTCGGGAGATAAAGAAAGGAAGGAAAGGAGGATGAGAAGATTCAATTCCCAGAGGGGGGATGAAGGGTTAACGCCGCTCGTACTTGTATCCAAACTGATTCTGCTGTTGATCATACCAATAATGTTATCTTCGTCCTTTTCTTCTTCTTGCAGTTCCTCCACATCTCTATCTCTATCTCTATCTCCTCCTCCTGCAGTCATGCCAGATTCTTCTGCCATCTCTTTCCTGTCACGGAAATGCGAGGCTGTGTTTTAATACCACGGACGGCAGGGAAATCTCTAATGGAAGTCGACCAAGAAGAGCCCTATTTGCCACATGCCATTAATCAAGATAATTTGTGGCCTATCATCTCCGAAACAGACTTTGAAAAGGAAAAAAATGGTATTTCCAAATTTAATGTAGCCCTTTTTTTTTTCCTTCTTCTTCTTTTCCCCTGTTGGAAGCAACAGAAGTCCAAGTAACTCTATTAGAATGAAACGTTACGTGGTTGATATTCTATTTTCTTTCCCTCAAAAAAATATTCGAATCAATTCCGAAATTTATTTCAGGAAAAAGAAAACCTTGGATTGCTAGTAGTATTTGATTATCTATATGTATATGACCACCATTCTTTTGGGACGTGAATTATCAGGTTTGCACAATAACTCCTCCATCTTGTGAAGATGCGTTGGAAGTTAGAAGTGGCTAAATTGGGACGGAGACGAGCCGAATAGCAGCGGTTTTGACGGTTTATTCAGCTGTGGGATTTTGGTATTGATGGATGATGACACGTTTATGGAGCCAAACTAAGATTAGGGACACTGTCTGTTAATCAAATTGTTGTTGTGCATGAATTAAGTTTTTTTTTTTTTTCCTGGTTCTAGTTCAATTTATACCAACTAAAAGGCTTTTGTGCCTTTTTCCTCTTTTGTCTTTTAAATTATTTTCTTCCTTTTTTTATTTTTTGAAAAGCCAATATATCAACATTAATTTTCCAACCATTATTCACTACTTCATATTTGGTGTACTACTTTTGATATGTTCTACATCTATCCTTGCGATAGAAATTGCTCTTTTTGTTTTTTTAGTGTAAGAAAAATTACTTCCTTTTAGTATAAATGGAAGGATTCAAATTCAAGATCTCTCACTTACACTCCTTCTGCTAAGGGCTGAGCCATCCAACACATTCCTCCTGCACGATAAAAATTGCTTAAATAACTATAAATACATAACCCAAGTTAACTAGTTCCTTCTCCCGTAACTTCCCTCTATTTTTAATTTCTTTTGCAGTGATATTTGTTTTCTTTTCTTTTTGTGAAATTAACCTAACTAGTGCTTTGTAACTATAGTTGTATATATACATACATATACATATACATATATATATATATATATATATATATTGTATCTGTTCACATTCTGCACATCATCGTAATATACATACATAGCAATCGTCCCTTAACTTCCTGGGAGCAACTGTCCCTATCTCTTATTCATAAATTTACCCGGCTTACAGGGAAAAAATTATTTTTACAATATGGTAATTTTATAATAACTAAAACAAACTTGAATTGCTTTGTACACTTCTTGTTGTGTGAATTGTTACTTACTAGAAAATATAGTGTCTAAATTCTTATTTATCTTTAAAATGGGGGTAACATACAGTTGGATCTTCATTCATAAATTAACTGCAACATAGTGACTCATTTTAGAGTATTTTTTTAGCAAAATTTGTTACTGTAGGGTTCTTTAGGATAATTTTAGATAAAGTTTAGGAAAACTTTTAAAATCTTTTTAAGTAATGTACAAATAATAGGAATCCAAACAAACCCATGGCATTAGAGAAACAAAAATTTAAGGGGTCATAACAATTGCTCCCCTATTATGAAACTAGTCTAATATGTATTATATTTGGAACTTTAACGAACAAAAAGTAAAGAATGAAAACGAAGAAAGAAAGAAAGAGAAATGGAACTGGAATTAGTAGAATTGCTTCTTTTTTTCTATTCATCTCTTCCTACTACTAGTACATATATATAGGAACTTTAGTCGGTTGTTTTGCTTTGGAGATGCAGCCACCATTGAATATCACGTGATGCCGTCCTTTTGCTCCAATCTGCATTGCCTTGACATCCAACAACATGTGCAGCCTTTCTATTTATCAAAGTGAGTTCATTTATCAAAGTGAGGCGCCGTACTCATCTTTCAAGATGGAGGCCCACTTCACAACACTCTCCCTTTGGATTTCAAGTACACGAAGAATATACCTCGTTAAAATCTTATTAGAGAAAAAAAAAATCCTGTGGAAAAAAAATTCTAGTGAAGGAAAAAGAGTACACTATTCTTGTGTATTGATTGCTCCCCTGATTCAAATATCAATTGAGATCTTTGAGCCGATGCATTCCGATATTTCTCACTAATTTTTCAAATGTTGCAGTCGGCAATGGCTTGGTAAATAAATCTGCCAGATTATGATCTGATCTGATTTGTTGTACATCAATTTCACCATTCTTTTGCAAATCATGAGTGAAGAAGAATTTTGGTGAAATATGTTTCGTCTTATTTTCTTTGATATATCCTCCCTTCAATTGGGCTATACAAGCTGTATTGTCTTCATACAATATCATCGGAGGATTCTCTATCTTAGACAATAGGCCACAATTCTTCTGAATATAGTGTGACAAAGATTTGAGCCAAACGCTCTCTCGACTTGCCTCATGAATTGCTAATACTTCAGCATGATTTGACGAAGTGGCAGTTAGCGTCTGTTTGGTAGATCTCCATGAAACGGCTGTACCACTACATGTAAATATATAGCCAGTTTGAGATTTTGCTTTGTGTGGATCTGATAGATACCCAGCATCAGCATATCCGAGCAATTCATGTCGAGATGCTTTCGAATAATATAGGCCAAGATCAATTGTCCCGTGGAAATAACGAAAAATATGTTTAATACCATTCCAATGTCGTCGAGTAGGAGAAGAACTAAACCTTGCTAATAAATTTACGGCAAATGATATATCTGGCCTTGTACAATTAGCGAGATATATTAGCGCACCAATGGCACTAAGATATGGTACTTCTGGACCAAGTATCTCTTCATCTGTCTCCTTTGGTCTAAACGGATCCTTAGCAGGATCAAGTGATCTGACGATCATTGGGGTACTCAATGGATGTGTTTTATCCATATAAAACTGCTTTAATACCTTCTGGGTATAAGTGGTTTGGTGTACAAAAATCCCATTCTCTAAATGTTCAATTTGTAAACCAAGGCAAAACTTGGTTTTTCCAAAATCTTTGATCTCAAATTTTTTCTTCAAATATTCAATTGCCTCTTGAAGTTGCTCAGGGGTTCCAATCAAATTGAAATCATCAACATATACAGCAATAATTACAAAATTTGATCCATTTTTCTTTATAAAAACACATGGACATATAGGGTCATTAGTATAACCTTCTTTGATCAGGCATTCACTAAGATGATTATATCACATACATCCAGATTGTTTAAACCCATACAAATACCTTTGTAATTTAATGGAATAAGTCTCTCTCAACTTTGATTTATATGCTTCAGGCATGTTAAATCTTTTAGGGATTTTCATATAGATATCGTTTTCTAATGTGCCATATAAATATGCAGTGACAACGTCCATTAGACGCATATCAAGATTTTCATGCACTGCTAGGCTTTCCAGATATCTAAACATGATTCCATCCATTACCGGAGAATATGTTTCATCATAATCAATCCCTGGTCTTTGTGAAAAACCTTGGGCTACAAGTCTTGCCTTATATCTGACAATTTCATTTTTCTCATTTCTTTTCCTTACAAAGAACCATTTGTATCCCACCGGTTGTACATTTTCTGGTGTTTGGACTACAGGTCCAAAAACTTTTCTTTTTGTCAGTGAGTCTAATTCAGCTTGAATCGCATCCTTCCACTTGGGCTAGTCATTTCTTCGCCGACACTCGTTAATTGAACGGGGTTCATGATCATCATTTTCTTCTATAATATCAAGTGCTATATTATATGCGAATGCATTGTCAATGATTATATCTTTTCGATTCCAACCTTTTCTTGTAGTGACAAAATTTATTGAATTTTCGATCACTTCTTCAGGAGCGGGCTCTTCAAGAGCAATTTCTTTAGAAAATTGAGTTTTGTCACTATCAGTTGTTTGAGGTGCTTGAATAATTTGCAAATCCTCGATTTTATCATTTATTCCCCTTTTCTTCCGAGAATTTTTATCTTTGGAACCGAGAGGCCTGTCACACTTCAGGCGTGTATTAGATTCGCTAGCACTTTTAATTTGTCCTTTTGGGATATCCAGTTTTATCGGGGTATTTGCTGCAGCAATGTATGATCTAGTAACTCTACTGGCATTACTAAATGCATCTGGTAATTGATTTGCAATTTGTTGCAAATGTATAATTCTTTGAACTTCCAATTCACATTGTTTGGTACGATGATCAAGGAAATCTAAGGATATTTTTCAAGTGATTTCCTTTTTCGATTGATTTTTATCTCCCCATAATGTCGGAAAATGCGATTCATCAAAATGACAATCTGCAAATCTAGCAGTAAATAAATCACCTGTTAATGGCTCAAGATAATGAATTATCGAAGGTGATTCATATCCAACATATATACCTAACCTTCGTTGGGGGCCCATTTTGGTGCGTTTGGGCGGTGCAATAGGAACATAGATCGCACACCCAAATATGCGCAAGTGAGAAATATTGGGTTCATGACCAAAAGCGAATTGCATGGGCGAATAATTATGATAACTAGTCGGCCTGATTCTCACAAGTGTTGCTGCATGTAATATAGCATGCCCCCATGCCGATACTGGGAGTTTAGCTTTCATTAATAATGGTCGAGAAATTAATTATAACTTTTTAATAAATGATTCAGTTAGACCTTTTTGTGTATGAACATGGGCTACAGGATGTTCAACTGTTATACCAATCGACATGCAATAATCATCAAATGCATGTGAGGAATATTCACCAGCATTGTCTAGACGAATTTTCTTGATTGGATAATTAGGAAATTGTGCTCGCAACTTTATTATTTGAGCAAGTAATCTCGCAAACGCTAAGTTGTGAGTGGATAATAAACATACATGTGACCATCTAGTTGATGCATCAATTAGCACCATAAAATAGCGAAATAGTCCACATGGTGGATCTACAGGCCCACATATATCACCCTGAATTCGTTCTAGAAAAGTAGGGGATTCAGTTCCTACTTTGGCTGGTGATGGTCTAACAATTAATTTTCCTTGTGAGCAGGCAACACATGAGAATTCATTAGAATTTAATACTTTTTGTCTTTTTAATGAATGGCCATGCGAATTCTCGATTATTCGCCTCATCATTATACTGCCAGGATGTTGAAGGCGATCATGCCAAATTATAAAGTTATTGGGATTAGGGGACTTCTGGTCCTCTAGATGATTTATTTCAGCTGCACTTATTTTTGTATAATATAATCCAGATGAAAGAGAAGGCAGTTTTTCTAATACACATTTCTTGCCAGAAATGGTATTTGTGATCAGTAAATATTCTGCATTTGTCTCATTAATTGTCTCGAGATGATATCTATTTCGGCGAATATCTTTAAAACTTAACAAATTTCTTCGAGACTTGGTAGAGAGTAGTGCATTTGGTATCATTATTTTAGTTCCTTCAGGGAGATATATAGTGGCTCTTCCGGAACCTTCAATCAATTTGGCACTACCACATATCGTATTGACATTTATTTCTCCCATATTCAGATGGGAAAAATACTTTTTATGTTTTAATATGGTGTGCGTAGTTGCACTATCAATGAGACAAATATTATCATCGATATTAGTTAATCCCAAATATTTGACATCAATTTCTTCTTCAGGAATAAAGGTAATTTCTTCGTTAAGAAGAAAAGCGATGTCTTCTTCAGGAAGAAAGCAAAGAAAATAAACATTAATAAAATACAACTATTAACAAAATAAAATACAAATGATAATAAAGGTCGTAAATTACACAACTGATAAAAAAAATTATATAAAAACAAAATAACAAAAATTTAAACATTGGGCCGTTGATCACTTGGCACCGTCAGGATGCTCAAGAAAATTGGCTACATCTAGATGCGTTATATCGGTATTTATAACATCATAAAAAATATTATTTTGCTCGATAACATTGGTCTCGACACCTTTTTTTTTCTTTTCAGGGATGCTTGATATAAGTCGACGAGGTGCTTGGCCGTACGGCAGGTACGGGACCAATGGTCTTCCATACCACATCGAAAGCATTTATCTTCATATTGTTTCTTTTGCTCGCCTTGCTCCATATTATTGTCTCGTTCTCGCTTCTGGGGGTAATTTGGCCTTTTATCATGATTATAATCATTATAATGATAAGGCACAAATCTACCACGGCCACGTCCACGACCACGGCCACGGCCACGTCCGCGACCACGACCTCTTCCACGACCATGACCGGAAGTTGAGGCTTGGGTCACATTCACTTCGGGGAATGGACTAGTACCAGTTGGTCGGGACTCATGATTTTTTAGTAATAGCTCATTATTTTGCTCCGCTAATAAAAGGCATGTAATGAGTTCAGAATATTTTCTAAACCCTTTTTCTCGATATTGCTGCTGCAGGAGCACATTCGAGACATGGAAGGTGGAAAATATTTTTTCCAACATATCCTCATCGGTCACACTTTCCCCACATAATTTTAATTGGGAAGTGATCCGGAACATAACTGAATTATATTCAGCTACAGTTTTAAAATCTTGTAGGCATAGGTGGAGCCAATCATATCTTGCCTTTAGTAGTACGACCAACTTCAGGTGGTCGAACATTTCTTTTAAATCGGTCCTAAGGTCAAGTGGATTTTTGTCCGTCAAATATTCCATTTTTAAACCCTGGTCAAGATGATGACGTAGGAATATCATGGCCTTGGCTCGATCTTGGCTTGTAGCATTATTGCCTTTGACAATGGTTTGACCAAGACCCATGGACTCCAGATGCATTTCCACGTCTATTGCCCAGGATAGATAATTTTTGCCAGAAATATTGAGTGATACAAATTCCTGCTTTGTAAGGTTGGCCATAATAAAAAAATAAAATGAAATAAAGGCAAGGAATATTACCCCAAAATGCACTTACGAATTGTCCTCGGGAATTGACGCTGACAGGGCTTTGGCAAAGCAATTTATACCGGTAAAATTTTGGCAGAGGCTCGTGCTAATAACGTATTATGAAACTAGTCTAATATGTATTATATTTGGAACTTTAACGAACAAAAAGTAAAGAATGAAAACGAAGAAAGAAAGAAAGAGAAATGGAACTGGAATTAGTAGAATTGCTTCTTTTTTTCTATTCATCTCTTCCTGCTACTAGTACATATATATAGGAACTTTAGTCGGTTGTTTTGCTTCGGAGATACAGCCACCGTTGAATATCACGTGATGCCGTCCTTTTGCTCCAATCTGCGTTGCCTTGACATCCAACAACATGTGCAGCCTTTCTATTTATCAAAGTGAGGCGCCATACTCATCTTTCAAGATGGAGGCCCACTTCACAACATCCCCTGAATTTTGGGGGTAGTTATACTTCACCACCCTCAACCTTAAAATATGCTATATACTTCACTCCCATGAAAACTAGTTAAAGTTAGAAATGCAAAACAAAAAAAAAAGAGTGTAATAATATTATTGCCTTTTTATTTATAAAATTATCTATAACTTACTATTATTTCCTTCTATTGCTAAAAGATACATTTTCTCTATAGAATATACTGTACAAAAATATCAAATTCATCAAAGCTAAAAAGGGTTTACATTTAGTTTATTATCCTTAAATTTTGCTATTGGACTTTTATGCATTTCATTCAATTTATTAGAATTTAAATCAAACAATAAAGATAAATAATACAGTAATAACAATAAATGCAATTAGCAAAAAAAATTGAGAAAAAAAGTGATATTAAAATTTTTATTTTTTTTAAAATAGTTTTTTTTTTGTTTTGGTTTATGTAAACTGTTAGAATACATTTTTTGTTTGTCAAATTAATCAAATATCAAATACTTAACCAAAATGGTTGAAAAGGGCTAATATGCTTTATCCTTAAACTTAAAGGAGAAAGATAGAGATTAAATCAAATTTCCATTTTTTTTAAGAAAAATAACAGTAAACTATAAATAATTTCAGCAACAAGGCAATGAGTGTTATTATTACACTCATTTTTGTTTGATAGAATTAAGATTTTCAAATGGATAATTTTAAGGTTGAGGATGGGAAATCGTGACTGACCTGAAAGCTCAACGGGGGCAATATGTGACCCAAATTCCAATTGACAAAAAACGTTACTGCAATTAATCTGGAGAGCTTACCGCAAATTTTTTTAAAACAAAAAAGGGCGGTATCTCTAATTTAGGTATTCGCGAAAAGAAAAAGGCGTTATTTTAATTCACTCACGCCAGTATCCACTATCCAGTCCATGTTTTATACTAATTATAAAACGGGGTGTGGGGAAACCGGACGGAAATCCTGTAAGGCTTACAGCTCTCTGCTCCGCAGCGCAACTGTTATTGTCGGCCCTTGCCTTGATGGGAGCCAAATTTTTTTTTAATGCTATGATGAAGATAGTTTCTCACATTTCAGGCAAGCTCTATTCTTTATCTGGAGTTTTAGGGGTTTAGATTCATTCGGTTCTTTCCGAACTTGCTCTGAGCTTGTCTGATCCCTTTTCAGTACCGTGGAAAGTTGGGGACTTTGTTTGATTTTTTAATTTTAATATGTGATTGTTGAAGTTGGGACGCTCATTTCTTCAAATTAAGCTCTTTTGAACTGGGATTTTCTGTTTATCGTCATTTCTTCAAGGTATGATTATCCATAGTTTGTTACAAGTTTTTTCTTTATTTTTTTTGGATCTCGACTTTTGAGTTATGATATTGTCTCGTATAGAATGGGATAGTTGCTTGATTGATGAGCTTAATTGAGAACGAAAAATGGAGCATGTTGAGGATAAATCTACCGTTGAACATAAGAGTAAAGAGCCAGAACTTGATAAAGAGCAAGAGGGCTGCAGCACTAGATCAGAATCGTCAGGATTGCGTGTATCTACCGTTTCTGACTTGCTAGGAAGCTCCACCAACTCCGACGGAGATCAATTGCAAAAGGGTTTGTCAAACAGATATGTGATGGCTCTGGGAAATCAACATGTCCCCCGTACAAAGGCTTATTCTGTAACTGATGTGGGGAAAGGGAACGCAGTTGAAGAATCTACGAAGAGAGATTTTAAGACTTCCATCTTGGCTTCGGTTAGCAGCACAAATGATTGTGAGGCAATCAATCATAGGCAGAAGGATATGTGGCAAAATTTTTTTCGATTGGCAGGGGGGATAAGGAGTAGGAATTTTTCTGGAGCATCAGTTTCCGAGAAGCAGGGTGGAATATCATTAAGTTCGAAGGAGAAGAAGGAAATGGAGTCTGTGGGTATTAAGGAGCTTAAACCTTTGATGACAAAACAGAAGAATAAAGTCCTAGGTGGAGTTTCCACTCGTTCTGCAGATAATTGTCGCTCGCACACTCAAAGCAATCAACAGCCTGGTGGGGATGATCGTTCAAAAGTATTACAATCTTCTAGCTTTACTAATTTCTTCAGGAAACAATCTCGCGAGGATAAGGCTGTTGAATGTACAGAACCTGAAGTTCATTACAGACCTCATTCTGCAGCCATGACGCAATATGAAAAACAATTGATTACTCTTAGCGCCCATAATTCTGGCGTGTTGGCGGACACAAAGGCTTCTCAAAGTCTGCCTCCGTTGCCTGATAAGTATCTGGTAGGACCTGTAGCATCTCATGGTAAGATCACTTTGAGAGATTGGCTAAGTTCTGGGGCTTCTGAGATGAAGAAAGTTGAGAGGCTGCGCTTATTTAAACTGATTGTGGAGTTAGTGGATTTAGCACACTGTGAAGGAATTGGACTACTAGACTTGAGGCCATCCAAATTCATTTTTGCCTCACCTGATAGCATTAAGTACACTGGTTCATCAGTTCCAATAGGATTGATGACCATGGTGAACCAAGCTATGACTAAGAAAAAGCCATTGGAGCAGGATGCCTATGACCAGAGAGAAATGCTTGTAAAGAAGCAAAAGCTTGGCAAGGACATGGAATCAATGAGACATGAATCTCAAATTTTTTCTGCCTATTGCACAGTTAACGAAACTATTGGGCCCAAGTCTGAATTGGAACCTGAGGTGGTTCAAATGGAAAAGAAGTGGTATGCTTGTCCAGAGGAGCTTCATAGCAGTGGCCTATTGTCATCAAATATTTACAATCTAGGCATTCTCCTATTTGAGGTTGGAAATATCTTGAAATATTTTGCTTTCCAATACCCTCCTTTGTAATCTTACTCAATTATCCTTCAAGTTTCCATTCCTTTTCTTGATACCTTTTGGTTGATTTTGTACTTGATTTTACCTAAACTATTGACGGTCAAAATTTACAAGCTTTATTTCCAGTAGAACTTTTGAAAACTAAGATAAATCTGAATATCTGGGTTGTTTGCTTTTGGTAAATGACGCTGGAAATCATGAGTTTGGCAAGTACAACTTCATTTCCTGGTTTGATGACAGCTGTATTTTGGAGGATGATACAAACTTTAGGTCACATATACGACCTGAAGTTCCTCACTTCTGTGTATGGCTTTTCATAACAAAAGGAAAACATTATTTCCTGAGTCTCATGGAGATTTAAACATATTAAGCATATCTTTTTTTTTTCTTTGTTCCTGCTACGGATTATCTTGTTGGGTTTGCTGAATAGTTTTAGAGGAGTATTTGAGAATTAAGTCCTTGAGTACATTTGTGGAGCGATTTCTTGTCATACCTTCCAGCAAAGTATATTATAATATTCCCGTTTAAATGGTTTTTACCCAAGAACCTTAGGCTATTATCTGTTGGCCTTGGGAAAGTTTCATGACTAGCAAATATCCTTTGCAATTCTTTTTGGTTGAAGACCGATCAGCAGCAATGTAATAGTAGTCCAACATGGGAATGTGATATGGGGTATTAATATGCTGCTTAGAAGTTCTTTCTACTGGTTTACATTAGATGCACATGTTCGCCTTAGTAATGCTCAAATAGGTAATTGCACTTGTCCAGACTGATACTTGCAATAGCAGCCCTTGGCCTTCAGTGCTCTGGTGGATCTTGTTAGCACTGAGTTTCCTTTCATTTCACTTTTTCTGCACATTTGCTGTTAGGGTATGCAAGGATGTTTGCTCTTTTACCTTCTCGGATAGAAAATTGTATAGATATATAATACACATATGAAGATTGCAATTTATATTTATGATTCATTAACTGATATTAATATCCTGATTCTGCACTGACATCAGTTCCTTTTTTCAGTTACTTTGCCAATTCGCATCACCGGAGTTGCATTTCGCAGCCATGTTGGATTTGCGAGACCGAATTCTACCTGCAAATTTTCTTTCTGAAAATCCAAAGGAAGCTGGTTTTTGCTTTTGGCTGCTTCATCCTGAACCTTCGTGCCGTCCGACAACAAGGTACTATACTGTTACTACTTCACTCCTTAGTTTCTTGCTGAATTGTAAACTTTATAAATGAGACAAAAGAAAGACAAAAATAGGAGAAAAGTAGTGTTGAAGTGACACATATGACAAGACAGCCAGCAATAAACTAGTTGAGCTGTTGGAAGACTAATAATATCATCTAACTTCCCTTTGTCGTAATTTTACTAAAAATTTGTAACCTTGGTCTTAGTCATGGGTGTTTTTATCAAGATGCTAAGAGCAACATTCATGAATCTCATGGCCTAACTAGACGGTAGTACCTTGGTAGCTATGGCAGTTCAGATTTCTCATTCAATCAAATTTACATGCAAAAGGCGATAGTGATAAGTCGCACCATAAACTGGGTGTATCCCTGATAATCTGTCAGTATGGCTGCTGCCTCCTTGTTTTTCTTCTTTGGATTATTGTCTTTCCCTATCCATAGAATAAGTAGGATATATGTCCACACATATAATAACTGCTTCAGAATTGGCTGTATGAAAGCATAAATTTTCTTTCCAACATTGTCTACACTTGCCTTAGGTTGGTATAGGACAAACAGTCTTTTTCTGTTGTCTGCCTCTACTGCACTAATTATATGCCAGATGCTTTTTCACTGTGATAAATCTGTTCTGGAGGAAGCAAAATTCATGCAAAATTTGTCTTTACTTATCCAAAAGCTTTCACACACACACACACACACATCAAAAATATAAATATAAATATAAATAAACAGTCCACTGGATACTTACTTAATTGGAGTTGACTTAGTCCTGAAGACGCTTCTCAGCAAGAATACTTTCACAAGCTAAAAGTAGTATTAACTTCTTGTTACAACTCATGTAACATTTTTAGTTGGATGAATATAAGCTCAGATATGTTAAAATATCCTAAGGGCAGGCTTTAGGGCAATGTCAGGTTGCTTCATTGCCAGGCTAATGTCAAAGATCAAATAAAAGGAGCCTCCTGGTGTGCCTGGCATGCAAGAGAAAGTCTGTGAATATTAAGTACAAGAGCTTCATTTACTCTTTGCTTTCTATTTGTTAAGTAGCAATCTATGCCTCCTTTTCCATAAAAAATAAGAAAGATATGTAATTACGTGAATTTGCAATTCTACTTAAAGTTATAATTCAGCATATTCAGAAATCAATTTGTTCTTTGAAAGGGAAATCCTACAATCTGAATCAATTTATAGTTCCGAGGATGTCCTTGTGGGAGATAATGCACCATCAATGATGGAGAAAGAAGAGGATGTAGAATCAGAGCTCTTACTTCATTTTCTAGATTCGCTTAAGGAACAAAGGCAGAATCATGTTTCAAGTTTACTGGAGAGTATAAAATGCTTAGAAACAGATATCAGAAAAATTGGAAGCAGACATGAACAAGAATTTTACTCAGATTGGATGGACCAACGTTTAAGTGCTTCAAGGTCAAGTCTTGTTTCTAAAGATAGGGATGATATTGAAATTCTTCCAAGAATATTCTCATCAAGAAGTATGATTGAAGAAAAGTTAAATTTGATGAAAAACATCAGCCAGCTGGAAAATGCTTATTTCTCTCTGAAATCTCAGGCCCAAATCACAGAGAATTCTTCCTTGGAAAGAGCAGACAAGGCCTTATTGAGTATTCGTGAGAAGTGGTTTGAGGCTCAAGATGCAAATAAAGACCCAAACATGGAAGAAAAACTGATTGATCGAGTTGGAGTCTTCTTTGAAGGCATTTGTAGATTTGCTCGCTATAGTACCTTTCAAGTGTGTGGAACAAAGTGGAACGCTGATTTTCTAAACTCTGCAAATGTCATTTGCTCTTTGAGTTTTGATCGGGATGAGGAGTATATTGCTGCTGCAGGGGTCTCAAAGAAAATCAAAATCTTTGAGTTTGGTTCACTTCTGGATGACCCTGTTGACATTCAGTATCCTATGGTTGAGATGTCAAACAGATCTAAGCTTAGTTGTGTTTGCTGGAACCAATATATCCAGCACTTTTTGGCTTCTACAGATTATGATGGTATAGTGCAGGTGTGTGCTTTCCACATATTATTGAGCATGTCTAAGAATAAGTACGAAAACAAGGCAAGCTAATCCATTATCAGTCTCTGCCTGTTTGTCTTATGATTTTTCGTTCTGGTTTTGTCTGGATTGCATGCAATTATATGAATCCTTTTGTTTGAACTTGACTTAATCCTCATCAAACCTTCACTTAAATGATGTTTTATGCTCTTGCTAGGTTGTTTATTGCTGTAAATTATTTTTCTAAGCTGCATTTTTCTGGTCCTAGAGGTTGGCTACCTTTTTACTGAGCATTACTGTTAGAGGATTGTCCATTTCTTTCTCTCCTTTTTGCAAGTTTTATCTTAATTATGGTACCATTCACTAAACATGGTTCTGCAATCTAGTACTGGACAAGACACTCTTTCTTGAATTTTGGTTGTTTTGACTCAAGCGCAGATCTGGGATGCAAGCAATGGTCAATGCTTTGCTCAATACATTGAGCACCAGAAGAGGGCTTGGTCTGTTGACTTTTCTTGTGTGGATCCAGCAAAGTTTGCCAGTGGAAGTGATGATTGTTCTGTGAAATTGTGGAGCATCAATGACGTATGATTTCTCATACCAATTAACAGATTTGGCACACAATTTTCTTCACATAGTGGTCAAAAATAGAAGTTTGTTATGCTTTTAAGAGCTTGCATTGGTTTAGAAATTTAAAGATGGTGACCTAGAATTCTGAGTAAACTTATATAGCTGATGGATATGCAATTCTTGATTTTACAGGAAGAATACAAATCCAATAAGCTTCATTGTAGATCAGTTGTTTATTACATGAGCATTGAACAAACATTATGCATGGCCATCCCTGCTTATTTATGTGGAGAAGACTATCAAATGCAATGCGCATAAGTCGGTTAACTGTCTCTTTTGGTGGTATGAGATTCATTCTTTCTAGGTAGCATTATGCATGGTCACTAGCTGATATGGATCTAATGTGGGAGTTGTGTCAATGAGCAGTTGTAATTAACTGTATTGCATGTTCTCTTCATGTGGTCAAAATACCTGCTGCTAGAGAAGAAAACAAAATCCAATTATTCATTTTTTGTTCATCCAAAATCCTAAAGCTTGACAATTATAATGTGATTCAATCATTTTTTGACCTTATATACAATAGTTCTGGAATTAGATACTACCATAATCCGTAGACTTTTTTTTATTCAGACATGATTTGTTAAAGGGCAGCAATTTTGAATTTGCCTTCACAGAGAAACTCTATTGGAACAATATGGAATCCTGCCAATGTTTGCTGTGTTCAATTCTCTACTTGCTCGTCATATATTTTGGCTTTTGGTTCTGCTGATTACAAGATCTACTGTTATGATCTTCGACACACAAGAATTCCTTGGTGTGCATTAGCTGGCCATGGAAAGGCAGTTAGCTATGTGAAGTTCATGGATTCAGAAACTCTTGTTTCTGCATCCACGGATAACACCTTGAAGCTTTGGGACCTCAAGAACACTACCATTGAGGGTTCTATTTCGAATGCTTGCAGCTTGACCTTTAGTGGACATACTAATGAGAAGGTCAGCTTTTCAGTCTTCATATAGAATGTGCTTGAGGTGTATGTCCTCTATGTTTATCCTGACTATTATCCTCTGATTTTTCAGAATTTTGTTGGTTTATCTGTTTTAGATGGATATATAGCATGTGGTTCTGAAACTAATGAGGTAAACACCTTGTATCTCGGTAAAATCTACTTCAAAAATATACTACTTGATTTAGTTTCTAGAGACTCGGTTGAATATGGATGTTATATACCTGCATATCTTTCTTTCTCTCTAATATGTGATGACTTGCATATCTAGAGCTGCCAAATGAAGAAAAAGAGATTATGGGAACAGGGGCTGGGGTTGGAAGGAAAAACAGATCTTCCTAACATATTTAGTGCAGCATCTGAAGTTTTGGGTATAGTTTCCATATCACGTCTTATCTCATACTGCCTTGGCCTTCGAGAGGTAAACTGTTCTGTAAGCACCTTGCATGGGTGTGAGGCATCTTAGTGGCTTTGATTGCCCAACAATTCAAAAGTAATGGATTCTCTGGTTCCGCATTAGATGTAAATCGTTCCATCTTCAATTCTTTGGTGCAGTTATATTATGCATTAGGTCAGGGTGGAATATAAGTAAAGAGTTTTATCAGTATTCTATTGCTTCCCTGGACTTTTATCTTTCATCTTAAGGACATATTGTTCTTTCAGGTTTTTGCGTATTACAGATCTCTGCCAATGCCGATTGCTTCTCATAAGTTTGGGTCCTTTGATCCTATATCTGGTCATGAACTTGATGAGAGCAATGGGCAGTTTGTTTCAAGTGTTTGCTTTAGAAGAAAATCTAACATAGTTGTTGCTGCAAACTCAAGTGGTAGTATAAAGCTATTGCAAATGGTCTGAGAAAGCTCCATTCTACCATGAACATTTGAATCACAGTTTTCTGATCACATGATTCTCGGCAAATTGCTGCTATTTTGGAACTGGCACTCACCTTTAGCAGTTCACATGAGTTCTTCATGGTTAGCTCCGCTTAAAGTTTCAGGACTTGTATTGTTGAAGCTGTTTGCATACTCGTTCAGGTCCACTTAAAGGCACTTTTCCATTGTTGCTCAAAATTAAACAAGATGACTGCCAATGATAAGACAAATGGTAAATGTTACACATTGCTTCAGGTAAAAGGTGAACTGCTTGTAAAGCTTGAGCATTTATAGAATCCCCATTTCATATTCTCTGAAGATTGGTGAAGAGATGTGAGATATGCTCCTTATCAAAATAAGCTCGGACAAGGTAAATTTGCAACTGACTTTTCTATATAAGAATGTTTTTGTTTAATGAAAATCATGTACTATTATCTGTAAGAAAATTTTTGACCTGTTACTCCAAGAAATTTGTGTAGCATCCACTGAGTATCCGGGCTTTTTCCTCTAATCTGTTGGGAGGAGCTATTGGCTGAGTTCCATTTGCTCATGTACATTTTATCCTTTGATATTTGCATAAAGTGTATGTGAGATATAATAACTTTTTTATTTTTTCTTGCTGGGCTAATTCTAAATTTCTGCTTTGCAGTTATTGAAGTGTGATACCATGGCCTTTGTGCAGTGATAAAATGAAGCTGACAGCAGTTCAACTTGCTTGGAGCAGTTCTTTCAAGTTCAATCTTCAAAGGTCTCTACGTAAAGTAACATTAATATCTCATCAATGGTGCCTTAACTTTAGATTGTGATTGTTTGGTTCTGATGAACACATCTCGAGGGCATTTACACATAATCTTGTTGATCCGGCAAATCCCCACAAAGAGATACATATCAGGAATGAAACCACCAGAAATCCAGGGGAAAACAAGACTTCAGAATCCTGCTAGAGCAAACACCAAAAAGATGACTTCCATCACATTTTTATCTTGGAGTACCTCACATGAGGAACTTAGTATAGTCACACTGATCTTCAAAAAATTTGGCTAAAACAAAGAACTTCTAGCTTCACAACTGAGGTCTTGTAGGAGCCTCTACGGTCTCCGGGTCTGACGGTGCATAGCAACATTGTCTTTGCATTTGGCAATTTTTTAGATTTCTATTTAATCACTTCACTCTAAGTCTCTAATACCAGCAAACTGTGAGTAATAGAAACCATGACTTTGTGCACTATCCCTAGATTCTCCACTCTGCCCAGAAACTGCGAGTGGATGTGCATGCCACTTCCATTTGGTTTGCTTTCGGGGCATATTTCTGGTTAATTTGTATACTCTCGTACAAAGGGCTATGAGAGCTCTGAATCTGATACGTGACCAGATGCTCTCCGTCTTGGACTCATTACCATTAACTGGCTTTCTGAATTCATCCTCATAGTCCGTCCACAAGAAGACATAGGAGGGGGCCTTACTCGACCCTTTGGTGTCCCTGTATATAACACATTTCAGAGATAATGTTAGTTCACCATGTTGTTCTGTTATTGGAACCTCTTTCATGTTGATACCCGTTTGTCTGGATCAACTTTGTCTAAAAGAAGAAACATTCACTACTCGATCCGTTTGTATTTTGAGGTAGTGAATGTAATAGGTGGTGTATAGAGAATATTGTATACTTCAGTACTTAAACATCAGGCTTATAGAAAACGCACACAATACAGTATTTCGTCATTCCTAGGGCAAAGGATCAAATTGCTGCCTTTGTTTCATTACAGCATTCTGGTTTATGAAGTACCGTGATGGCACTTAAAAGTTTCACACCGATCATTTGACGATGCTTGTATGTCATTTGTGTAATAGTTGTGTCCATTTTAAAATCTTAAGATGTATGTGATATGTGTCTAAACTTTAAGACTTAAGACTGAATCTGCATATCCCAGATATTTGGGTAGAGATTATCTATACAAGTTTACGATGAAGTAATTAAGTCTGGCTTAAGTGTATCTTTTCTTTATTTCGTGTTTTTAAGAGCAACCAGGCACATTCTTTTGTGTATTCTCTAGTCGGGCAAGTTCTATTACTTGCTTTCATGTTTACATTGAGTTACTGGAATACAGAATTAAGTTTGTTGATACCAGGTTTGAAATTTTTAGGTTTCTATAGGTTCTTAAGAGTTATAAGTCATGATGATATGCTGAGATAAGTTATCTGATGGGGTTACAGTTTCCCATTTGCTTTTCCCCTAGGGATCATTATGGGTGTATTCATAGGAAAGCTAATTCTCTGATGTTATGCAGAAGCACAAACCTAAGCGCTTCAAATACCTCCAGTGATTTGTTTATCCTAATAAAAGTAAATTCTCAGTTTCTGAATCTGTAATGCTAGGGTCCTTACTTAAGAAGCAAAATACTTATTTTCCAAGTTTTAATGGATGAGTTTAAAATTATGACCTTTATTGTTGTAGTTTGTGAGCACAGCTTTGAACATATTCTGTCTTTTTTTTCTCCACAGATGCTTGCTGCTTGATAATCATGCATCAAATAGACAGAGTGAAGAGATAACCTGGCTGTTTAATGGGTTTGACATCTGCTGATTTTTTGGACGATAGCATTCTCCTGTTCATAGTTTCTGGAGAGGCACAAGACCTCCTTTCAGAGGGTGATGGTAATGGATCATCCACAGTTGCACTTTCATCCCCACATGCTGAAGCATCACTTCCTGATTCAGAATTTTCTCTCTGGCTTGTATTTGATTTTTCCTTCTCTGCTACCCTGTATACAAACATCTGAAAGGGAATCTCTGATATGGGCAACATATTGGATTCTGCCCAAGAAGGAAAGCTCCTCAAGATCACTGTCTCAATTTCACTGTAATCCACGAGTGGCACTGGGGTTTCTGGCTGGCTATGATCAGGGTTCATCAACAAGAATCTCTTTATGTACCGGAGAATTCTGCAGATGGATGCAAAACTTGGACGTTGGTTTGGGTCATCGTGCCAGCACTTTTTTGTCAAATTCGTCAAATATTTTGGCGAGTGAAATGGGAATAGTGGTCTTTCCCCTGCTCTAATGTTTCTGCTCATTTTATCTCCTTGGAGATGGCCATCTTCAAAAGGGACTTTCCCTGTTAAAAGCTCAAAGCAAATCATCCCAAAACTATACACATCTGCCTTCTCCGTGTACTTGGAGTTATCAGCATTGCCTGATTGTTCTTGATCTGCTAGCACCTCTGGAGCGTACCAGATGACTGGAAGCTGCCCATTCTGATTGGAATTGGATTTCTGAGGGAGGCTGACAGAGGAGAGAAGTCCAAATGTGCGAACTTTTGCATGCAAGTAACCATCTGTATTGATGTTTCTGGATTTTACAAGAATGTTTGAAGGATTCAAATCTCCGTGATAGATTTTTTTTGAGTGGAGATATTCCATTCCTCTTGCAATCTGAAGCATAAGGTCAACTGCAACAGGAAGAGAAAATGGAATTCGCTTCCTTGGTCCACAAATTTCTTTTATATGACTGGAAAGATCTCTGTTCATGAGTTCCATAACTAAGAAGCATTCCTTTCTTTCCTCATCAGTAAATGCACAAAAGATATGCATAATATTAGGATGAGTAAGAGCTAATTCTTGAGAGATTGCTGGAAACATTGGTTCAATGTCCCCAAAAAAGTGTCTCAGAGCAAAGCTTTCACCCAACCATTGAATCTCCTTGTACTGGCTTCCACTTCCTAACCGCCGCCTGACCTGGTAATCCTTAGAGCTCACTAAGGTGGAGGAAGGCAGGAGCTTCTCTTCAACTGGTCCTGACACACTTAAGTTCTTCAGAAGAAGATCAGCGAGTCGCTGCTCCTGCTTTGTTGAACTTACTGAACCAGAAATTTGTATCTCTTGGAGTTTTCTCAACAGAACCCATCTATCCTCATCCCACACTGAATGTAACCTATTGCAGAAATCTTGGCTAACTAGATATTCATTACCAAACTTCCACTGAAAGATTCGGGGATCTTTACAGTCTTTTCGATACTTCAACGAGTAAAGAAGTCTCTTCTTTTGTATCTCGTCTTGATCCCATCCTGACATTTCTCCAGCAATTTCAATTGCTTCAATAACAATGGGGATGCAGCAGAGCAGGTTATGTATATGGAACTCAACACAGTCTGAATTCTGATAAAGCCTTATAGCTTTAACCCACCAGTCCTTCGTTTCTAGGCACTGCCGGATGTAAATTTCTCCTTCCCTAATTATCCTGAGGAGCTCTCTTAAGGGACTTTCAAGCACCTTCCATTTCGTACTCTTCTCTTCAAATCTCAGGTTCTGTTGCATCTCCTTGGCAATTGTTTTATAAGCACGATTCATCATGTCAACCAGCAAGCAACACTGTCGCTGATTAATTTGTATGTCATCCTGAAAGACCATCAATGCCTTGAGACTTCCAATCACCTCTCCAATCTGCCGGAATTGCTCCATCGTCGTCAACTCTTACAGGTGTCTGATACTGTGTAATGATCAGAACAGAGAAGAACAGAAAGTAGAGAATAAGGAAAGAGTTAGACAGGGAAAGAAAAGAAAGAACAGAGAGAACCAGAAGAGAATTGAATTGAGAGAGAACCAGCAGTTACAACAATTCACAAGCTGCTTATTTTCGCAGATCATTTTGGCTATTAATAGAACTTCAGCCAGCGTTAGTTATTGAACCGTTCCTAACTAGCTTTTACAAGTTGCAGCAACTAATCTAACAGAATTTGGCCGGGTATCAGCATTGGTCCTTATTCAATCATTACATATTGGATGCCCTGTGTGAAATGATTATGCGACTACATCAATTTCTAATGACATGCCTGTAATTAACGAGATGATTGCGATGAAAAGTACAACTCACCAGCAGATGAACTGGGGTATTTGGAGATGGTAAACCTCTCCTGAGGGCTCCTTGCCAACCCCAAGAAAGATCAGAAAGCAAACCCTTGATTGATTATCGGGCGATGATGGGTCTCTATGCGACTAGATGCTGATTGCCGGCTGAAACCTGGGCAAGAACTATGAAAGAAACAAAAATCTGTCCTGTTGTACAGAAATCCTTCCAGGACAATCAAGAAAACGGAAAGCTGAGAGCAGGATGCAGAAAATGACTACTACTAATTAAGTTCTTGCAAAATCCCTGAAGTTGGCAATTGGGCTTGTAAGAAGAATCAAATTTGGCATTAAGAGTCTTTCCAACAGCGATTGCACGAGAATGAAAATAGGGTCCTCTTGAATAAGCCTATGGTCAGCAGAAAGGTAATATACATAAAGGCAGAATTGCAGGTTATTCTCTTCTTTCCATTGTCTGGATTTTTCTTTCTTTTGGAAAATGCTGGATTGCTTTGATATCCCAACACTTGGCAACCTCCATTCTGGCCGTTAGAATCCAAGCTTTTCATTTTGGCAGTTCGATCATGCCAATATTCTTGTGCGAGTTTCGTGGTTGCACGTTTGACTGAGGGTGTCGTCATTCTACTAAAACTTGGTGCAGGCCTCAAATAAATAATATGCGAGCTTTGAATTCTTAAAACACAACAGTGTTCTTATAATTTAGTGTAAGTACTTTTGTGCACTACCATTTTGCCCCAAGACAAGCTCTACAGTCTATACCCCGCCCCGGGGGGGGGGGGGTTTGGGGGGTGTGGAGATTAATTGGAGGTTATGGATGAGCTTTGATACAATTGGTAATTGACTTGTTACTTTCAACCATGCAAACCATTTTAAAGATTCAAATGTATCAAACAATTTTCTAACTTATAGTCTATGGATGTCCTCGCTTATCATTTTTTTTTTATCGTTGCTTTATCTATATTCCACTCTATTTTAATCTATTTAGAGGGAGGTCCAACTGGACTTTTAGAGGCTAATGGAGGCTGAATCACCACCGGATCAAACGAATACATTACACATCCGTATGAATTTTTTAGAGAAGCCACTTCTTGTGACAATTAGTAAGAGACAAGGTTTGAAACCTTGACCCCCACCTCGCTTATCAATTGACACTTAACTTTTTTTGCTTAAATAAGCTGATTTACTCTCTTCCATTATGCGTCGTGCTTTTAGGATTTATAGAGAGAAATTTGTTACCGAAAGATTTTGAATAAAATGCACTGTATTCTCCTATGATTTAGTAACACAAAACTCCATTGTGCTTTCCGAACCTCCTTAGTATTCCTTTGTGCTTTGGGTTAAAAAAAAAAGGGAAAATAGCCATTTTCATTCCTAAACTTTTTTACCGTGTCAATTTAGGCCATGTATAATTTTTTTGGCCAATTTGATTCCTAAACTTATTTAGCGGTTCCAATTGAGAAACGTTGTGGCGGCGCCACTATATAAATTCAATCAAGTCACTAATTGAACAACTAAGCAGGGTATTTCGAGTAGTTCACTGTTAGGATAGTAACAAAAGAAGTAAAATCCTCGAAGGACCCAATTGTAAAGAAGAGAAGAGCTCTGCTGGTTTGTAGAGGAAAGGGATTTCTGAGCGGTGATGGTCAGTAACAGAACAGCAGAGGAAACTGAAATCCAGTGGAGCTTCTTCAATAAAACCCCAATATTCTCAAAACTCGATTGGAATCTTGCCGACATAAATCTCAGCACCCAACTGTTGGTTTACAATTGGGTCCTTCAAAGATTTTACTTCTTTTGTTACTATTCTAACAGTGAACTACCCGAAATACCCCTGCTTAGTTGTTCAATTAGTGACTTGATTGAATTTATATGGTGGCACCGCCGCAGTGTTCCTCGATTGGAACCGCTAAAAAATTATATATGGACTAAATTGACACGGTAAAAAAATTTAGAGACGAAATTGGCCATTTTAAAAAAAATGGTACAAGATGGACGACAAGACTCCTCGTGTTTTAAAGGTTACGCCACTAAATTTAATGTGTGGTTCTTTCACAAATGGGTTTAGTACTTTTTCACCTTCTCTACCTAAAATACCATCAAGTCCGTTGAAACATAAGTAAGGAAAAGTTTAAAAGCCAAACTGAAAAGTTTACAGTTTTAGACTTTTAGTTTATCCTTCCCGAACAATAAAAAATGCCAATCAATTTTCAAAATTTAACGATAAAATTGAGAAGCAAAAAAAGGTATCACTGAACCACGGCCATAGGGGGATTACGGTAAAAAAATACACCATAACCCCTTGCGCTTTAGCAATTTGGTGCATAACACCACAGGAGACAAGCTATTACTCAATCACAGGGTATTATGGTGCATTTTTAACCAAAATTTTATTTCTTATAGAGCACATTTCTAGATGCTTTTAGTTTATAAGGCAAACATGTAATTTTAACTTTTACTCATATTTCTTTAAGAAATTACTTTTATTTTAACAACTTCAATAAATACATAGCGATAAATGAACTCTACATCACAAATGAAATTTATCAGCTTGGGATTTTTTGCAATCTCATACATCAGCTTGTTTTAATCTTTTCTAGATTAATAGTTTTTCTTCTTCTTAATGCTACTAGATGTATTTGCTATTCTTAATTATTAGTATTTGTCTCCTATCATTACCATTTGTTTAGTGCCTCTATTTTAAAGATTACTCATTTTGTTTATATAATCAAAGCACAAGTGTTAACTATTGCGGTTAGCCTTAGTGGTCAAGGAGGTTCTTAATGTCCTCTCCTTGATAGGTTCAAGGTTTGAATTCCGTGTCTAACAGTTAAGTGTACGAAAGAGTTGGGAGGATTAAAACAAGTCAAAATACTAGTGTCAAGTATAATCATATAATCGTGTCACTAGAGATGGTGTGGAAGGGATGGGAGGGTAAAAAAAAAAAAATCAAAGCACAAGCATCAAGTGTAATAGTGTTGAATTTTTCTAACGGATACCTAAAATACTTAAATATGGAACGTCTAAATTTCATCCAATTTATCATGTATATATACACACTAATAATTATTACCCTCACTTGCTTATATCTAGTTAATCTTTCGTTTAAAAAATCTAAAACCTAAAGTACATCTTAATAAGATTAGGCACCTGTTGATAGACTCAAATTGTAATGGGGTGAATCCGGAGGTGAAAAAAGAATTGGGATACTTCTGGAAATCGCAATAAATGAAAGGGCGCAATCATAAACTTTTCTCCCGCGTAAAGAAACAGGGAGGGGGTACTTCTGAAAATACCATAAAATGAAAGGGAAAAATCATAAAACATTTCCAAGATCGATCGTTAGCCGAGTAAAGAGCTCAGTTTTGCAGATCGTCTCTGCCAAACTGACGGCGAAGGACTAAAATGAAGTGGTACGTCGTCGCTTCTCTCCTCACCGTTCTCACCAGCTCTCAGGTAACCCATCTCTCTGCTTGCTTTTTACCTCTTTAGTTAATCATACCACTTCGCTCTCCTTTGAAGTTATATGCTTTTTCTCGAGCTCTTTTTTTTTTTTTTTTTTTTTAGCTGCCAGTGCGGACAATTCTTGAAGAATTAGAGCAATATATTTGCTGGTTTTTCGTACTTTTATCTGAATATTATACCTATGGCAGGGGATTTTAACAACATTGTCTCAGAGTAATGGGAAATACAAATATGACTATGCAACCGTCCCTTTTCTTGCTGAAGTTTTCAAGGTATATTCCTTCTACTAATATTGTCCAAAGATCTGTATCTTAACATTGATACGTTAATAGTAGCATCTGAAATCTTTCGAACGGGAAATTAAATGGGTTGGTCGAAGAAAAAAAATGCCCGTGTTTGATAGAAAAGGATTCGGGATTAAAGAAGAGCTATTTTTCCAAAAGAAATGGAAGTGCCAAAGTTTTAGCTTGCACCATCCTTGTATGAAAAGGAAGGAACTACTTTGCCCCTTTTGGTCCATGCGAGTTTCTAATTTGTGAATTTAGGTTTTATGGCATTCTATTGTCTGAATATGTCTTATACTGAGCCACCTTTGCCAATGGGATCCTCGTCGATTTAGAAATTGATTTTCTTCAGCGCAAAAAAAAAAAAAATCATTGTATCTTTAAATTCGGGGTCAATTGGATGAGGGTTTCACTATTTATATGCGTCTATTTAATGCAGCTTCTCGTGTCTAGTTTTCTTCTATGGAGAGAGTGCCAAGGAGTGCCTCCTCCAAAAATGACTACAGAATGGAGAAGTGTTCGTTTGTATCCAATTCCGTCAATCATCTACCTAATCCATAACAATGTACAGTTTGCAACATTGACTTATGTTGACACGTCCACGTATCAAATTATGGGCAACTTAAAGATTGTTACAACGGGAATTTTGTTCAGGTGAAATAGCACCACATTTATTCCTTCCACTCATTGAGGTGTTGTTTATTACTTTCTACAGTTGATCATGATTTGTACAAATTAGGAGATATTTCTTTGTCATGTTCTAGGCTGTTTTTGAAGAAGAAGCTGTCTAATTTGCAGTGGATGGCAATTGTGTTATTGGCTGTTGGAACAACCACAAGCCAGGTGCTACTTGTGTGCTTTTAGCTTTTTTTATATTCAACTATTTTCATCATGACGCTATCACGAAATGACTTGTTTCTTCTGGTATTTGACCAATTTTAGTCATCTCAGGCTTCCCTGTCAGTGTAGGTTTTCCAGCTTCAAAACTTTACTTTCTGTTATGCAATGTTGTTTTTGTGATTGACAACTTCTAACGGTAGTTTTTTCTTTTTTGAGAAGTTATACTTCTGCACTTCAATCAATACACTAATGTATACAGATTTAGATATTATGTCTAGGAAAATGGTGCATTTATAGGATTCTGATTGTACAGTTAGAGGATTTTGATCGACTGCAGATCAGCGGTACATTGGGACCCCCAAAGAGTTGATCTGTTGATATAGCTTGTTCTCTATATTTGTTGTTTGATATAACTTAGTTAGGTGATAAAATCTACATGATCTCCAATATATTTAAATGTTAAAATGGGTTAATCTAATTTATTTGAAAAATGATTTTGGCTGAGTTTTCTTTTTCCTCTGTTAAACTTTTTATGCCAGTTCCTCTAAACAGATTTCTAAATGTTTTGATATCCAAATGAACAGAGGGAAATTATATCCTTTTGCAGATAAGGCCTAATCTTACAAGCTAATATTATCTCTTCTTATGTTGATATAGGTGAAAGGATGCGGAGAGGCTTCCTGTGACTCGCTCTTTTCCTTTCCAATTCAGGGTTACATGTTGGGCATATTATCTGCTTGTCTTTCAGCTTTGGCTGGTGTTTACACAGAATTCTTGATGAAGAAGAACAATGACAGCTTATACTGGCAAAACGTCCAGTTATATACGTGAGTTTCCCTTCAATCAGACAAATGCTTATGCAAACTAAGCACTTGTTGCAGTAACATTTGTTAAGCTTTTTATGACCTTTGGCAAAGGTGTTATGTTACTCTTCTCTGTATGTTAACTCCATTTCCTCATAAAGGAAGATGCAACATGACAAATAATATTTGTATACCATATTGAATATGCATCAATAATTGGAGACATTCATAGAAAAGGTCAATTGTACACTATGAAATCAAATCACTGGAAAAGTGTTTGGGCTTTAAATGATTTGAAAAAGTTTATGACTACTGCCACACATACTTCAAGCTCTTCTAACTTACCAAAAAAAAAAAACTTCAAGCTCTGCTTGAGGCTGAAACTAAGTTTACATTCTTTCAAGGAGTTTACTCACTGAATTTCTTTGCACAACATAAATATCTTGTCTGTGAGAAGAAAGAGCATGTGTAAACTTCTGATATTACAAGAGAGTGACCAGTTTTTGATTATGCAATTCAGTTTGATGACAATTGACCTGTCAATAGCACTGCATCACATTTGCATTGAGACTAGATGCTTGTAAAAGATTTTTCTTTTTACGCTAATTAATTGATTCAGAGCATTCTTTTTTCAAGGTTTGGCGCGATATTCAACATGGCACGTCTTGTTTTGGACGATTTTAGAGGTGGCTTTGAGAAAGGACCATGGTGGCAACGGCTTTTGAATGGATATAGTATCACAACATGGTTGGTGGTGTTAAATTTGGGGTCCACTGGGCTTTTAGTATCATGGTTGATGAAGTATGCGGACAATATTGTAAAGGTTTATATGTTTTTCTTTCTGCTACATTTTTCTACTTATTTGAGAGACTTTATTCTAGCAGGGCCAATATTTTGTATAAGTTTGATGTAGATACCTGATAATTATTTTCTTGTTCTGGTGACATCTTTGTTTCCCATATAAAATAAAATCAACAAATTGAGATTTTTTTTTTTTTGTCTTTTCCCTTTTCCTTGAAGGTATACTCCACTTCAATGGCAATGCTACTAACAATGGTACTATCTATCTTTCTCTTCACTTTTAAGCCAACGCTACAGGTATGGTTTTTGGCTTAGTATAGCTCTGTCATTTCTTTTACTGTCACAAGACATCTATTCTACTGTTTTGAAGTTAAAGTTTGACATAGATTTATTTTTAAATTTCCACTGCCCACAGTTTATGCTGTAAAAGTAGATCTTCTATCCAGTTGCTTTCTGTACTGTTCCTGCTTCCCTCTTGACCTATGTCTTCACAAGATTTTCAATTGCTTGTGATGATCTTTGATGCTTCTGAAGGATGACAGAATATTTTTTTCCCCCCATTTTTCTTTTTTTCTTCGTCCTCTATCCTTTTGCCTTAATACTGGCTTACAAGTTTTTGATATATTGATTTTTCCTTCTTGTCTTTATGCAGCTGTTTTTAGGTATTATCATCTGTATGCTGTCACTGCACATGTATTTTGCTCCTGCAAGCATGCTTGTGGATTTGCCTTTGACAGCAAAAGCAACTCCTGAAAACTTAGTTGAAGTCTCTGTAGATCGAAGAACAGATTCCTGATGTATTATGTGCTTCGAGGCAACATTTTTTTGGTATGTTTAGCTTTTAGTAAAATGCATTGGAAAGCTGTTTTCACTTGTTCCAAGCTGTAGATGTGCTAACACTGTGTGAAGTATAGGACCAACACAGGAAAGTATCAGAAATGAGGTTAGAAAACTATTTCTAGTTGTATGGAATTTGGAATTTTGTTGGCAGAAAAGTTTTAATTTCTTTTCCAAATTTATTACAGTTCATCATTACCAGATAATGACCACCATATTCATGCAAGAGAAACTGGGACGTTCTTCCTCTCTCTCTCTCTCTCTCTCTCTCTCTGTGGTATAGTTAAAGCAAATAGAATACAATCTAATGGTCTCTTTAATTAGTGGAAAATATACTCCGAGATACAAGACTCCAAATTTCCTTGTGAGATATATAAGTCTAGTTTACTTCCCTCTGAACTCAAAGCAATCACCTGATTCTTCCACCCTGTAAGTCTGGCATACAAGTAACAGTAAAGCTGGCCAAAGAAAATGGAATTGCAGCCCCTATGGAATGTCTTTTAACAATCATATCGTTTGCTTCGCATGTGGTTCATAGTTTCAACATAGCAAAGTTATAGTATGTTTTGTTTAGCAAATTATACGACATTTGCTTCATGAAATACCTGAGCTACAGCTCAAGAGGGCAAGGTGGGGGACAAGAAATAAATTGCCATTTGTGTTCCTGTAAGTTGAACTGCTGTTTTGATTAATTTTCAGTAATTAGTACAATGGGAAGAACATCACATAAAGAAGACATATGGGTTACATCAACTTGGTTGTGCATGGTCAGAAACATCATTCTGTGGTTTGCAGTCCTTCCTGTCCCTGAGCAATTGCTTTACCATTTGTGGCCTGCAATTTCTGTCAGGATCTTTCATTCTTTTGTAACCACCAGATATTTTTGGATGCAATAATGCAAGTTCATATTTATGTTTACATTCAATGCTGAGATCTATTAATTGTCAAGCGTTTGCTGCCCCATTAAGCAAATATGTGGATGATGGCATGCGAAGGAACATCTACTTCTTGGTGCATTGAATGGCATGTGGCCCTCATTTCTACTGTATCCTTGCCATATTCAGCTATAAACCTTCAAACTGTATGAATTAATAATGCATGGCGGAATGGTCTGCCGTTCATGTAAGAAACTCTGTATGTTCTTGAATTCAAGAGAGACAAACATCAATGGCAATGCAGCATGAATAGATAAAAGAGAAGAAGTGAAGCTTTTATTGTTGTTAACGAAGGACACAAGTGGAATTTTGTTAGCATCTCGGTTACCTCCTCTTATCGTGGTGAAGTTGTAAGGCCCAAGTTATTTATAGGAACTCAGAAGGGTGTCTGCCGAATTGTGGTATAATATATTCAGGTGAGAAATAGTCTACTACGGCAATGGTGAAATATAAGAGTATCTGGCTCATCGATTTGTACAAATAGTTGTAATGAACTTGAAAAAAAAAATCACACGAGGGCTACGGTCATGTAATTTTTCATCCATGTAAAGTGTATAACATTTTTTGCAGCAAACTTGAGATGATAATTGAAGGGTTATCAAGAATCATATGACCTTCATTTCGCACCTACCTGACCTCTCCAAAAGAAACTTTCTCATGTGTATTTGTCCATCCTCCTGCTTTGAGGGTAGGAGAAACAGAACAAAGGTCTGGGGTTTGGCAAATAGTACGTGGAAGAAAGTAGAACGGACCTGTTGGCTTGGCTGTTGTCTTGTCATGGAAGAGAAAATTATCTCAACAATGCCGGCTAGTTAATTCCACAACAGTCCATTTTCTGTCAATCAACGTCTCCCCTAAAGTCAACTATAAATAGGGTCACTCGTGTCTAACACTTGCTACATAGACTAAAAAAAAGCTACCCAATCATTAAAAAAAAAAAAAAAATTAACTTCTCTTCTGAGTAGTTGATTTCAAGAAATGGAGCACTCAATTTCAAGGGCAACCGGCCCAAACAATAATATAGGCGGAGGTGCCGGTGCAGGATCAACCGTGGGAGGGCAGCATGGTACCATAGAGAGATGCGGCTTTCAAATGCCATTGCACTATCCCAGGTACACCAAGGCCGAGTATGAGACCATGCCTGAGTGGAAGCTCAATTGCCTTCTTGCAGAATATGGGCTTCCGGCAACTGGAGATGTTAACCAGAAAAGAAAGTTTGCCATGGGAGCTTTCCTGTGGGCTCATTGATTGAACTTTCTTCATCTGCAAAATCTACCCCTATAAATATTATGCACTATCATCTATAGTGATCTGTTATCTATTGTGGTTGTCAAATGTGGCGGCAGAAATAGAACTTTGCACTTTTGATATGAAACCCTGTTCAATGTACTGCTTACAAACTCAACTGAGATTGCTGGACTTGTTTATAGTTACTGCTTCAAAGTTATTTATTTCTGGGCCGTTTGTAGTAGAATGGATTTTGACCATGTGCATGAGAGGATTTGAAAATGAGTAGTGGCTAATGGGAGATATGTGCAAGCTGCGAGTTTCTTTTAAGCATTATTCGTTATTTTTTGGTTTGGCAAATTGGAAGAAGGATTTGTAAATTTTGGCTTCTTGAAAAGCCAACAAAGTTTAGAAACACGCCAAACAAGAGAAAGGGGCGAGGTCCTCGATTATGGAAATCAATACCATGTCCAAATTGATCAGAACTTGTAAGTGAACCAGGCGGGGGAATGATTACCTGAATTTAAACCGTAATATTTACTCTTATATATCCACCTAAAATGAAGGAGTTTAGAATAGAAGGGCTAAAGATTGAAGGTACCTTTTCCGAGTGCATAATTATTTGCTTTTAAGAGCATAAGCTATCAATGGCTAATTGATGTGCATAATTGAACAAAAGGAAACAAGAGAATGGGGGGGGGGGGGGGAACTCTACCCTTTTCCTTGCTTATCTTTTTATTTGCACAGGAAATAATCAAGAAATCAAACCAAATTTCCAGCGCCATGATTCCATCCAACAATTAGATCCATCCTCCTCACTCCGAAGGAAAAGTAGTAGAGATATTCAAATGACTATACAAAACCCCAATTAGCCCAATAGATGAAACTGACAAAATTCCTTATTGTGTTTCTATTTATGTTAAGTAGACGCTCGGTCGAATGTCAAGTTCCTAAATGGGAATTGGAGAGAAACAAAAAAAAAAAAAAAAAAAAAGAAGAACAGATTGCTTAGCGAATTTGGGATAATCTTTGCGATCAAGAAAGTTAAGACTTTGCACTTCCAAGAAATCATGTGTTATTACTCTTCTGGTTTTGTAATGTTATAAAAAGTGGGAAGCTTTGCTGCCCCTAAACCTTGAGAGTAATTTTTGATTGTTCTGCTTCCTTCTCACTTGGCGGACATGTTTAGCCCTTCTGGAAATTGAGCTGGACTGCTTTAACGGGTCTGCCGTAAGCCGAAAATGAGCACACACCATTTGGCCAACATCGGCACTTGGGACCCTATTGTAATTTATGGTACGAAGTTGCCCTGCTGATTGAGTAATAAATGTGTTCTGTATTTGATGGGGACATACACCATACATGAGTACATGACTATGAGGGGCAGTTTTATTTGTATTTTGTAACCACGTTTAATTTTATTTATTAAGTTCTCGGGTTTTATGGAAAAGGGTTGGATTGAGTGATAAGGTGGGAGGAATTGTAAAGTAAAAAGTCGTGATTTAAAACCTCCTACTTAAATAAAAAAAAAATCTCGGACTTTATACCCAAAAGAGAGTAAAGGTATACTCGTTTAACTTGAAGTATATATCCCTTTCTGCAGCTGCACAAAAGTTTAATGAACAGGACATGATCGCCCATTAGCAAGTCCAAAAACATTTTAGATTTGTACCTGCTGGCTCCTCTGCCCAACCCTTGTTGCAGTCAAGGTTTTGAAAACTAGGATCACACTGGATCCTTTTGGAGGAATAGAATTAGATCATAGGTTGTGAATATAATAAATGAGAGCCTGAGACTTCTTTTCTTTTATTAAATATAATAAATGAAGAGGTCGTGAATTATTTTTTTTTTTTTGGGATCAGGAAGCTACAATAGATTTTGGACTGTCATTTTTTAAAAGAAAAAAAATTAACTTTTCCGTAAATATACTTTCGAATCACTTCTTTATCTCACAGATATTAAATCGTTAGAGTATATTATTCTATAAAAAAAAAAACTTCAGAAGATAGTAATTCAAACGAGTCAATGATCGCGTGTAACAGACTATCCAATTCAATTTTCATTTCAGTTTTCAAAATGTCATGTAACGACGTAAATAGAATCATTAGATGTGGTGGGCGAAGTTAAAAGATATTAGAAAATCCCCATTTGGATGGGTTGTCATTAGCTGTTGTAATTTCCACGATTGTAAAATGACAAGAATTAAATAATTTACGAGATTGTAAAACGACATGAATTAAACAAGTGCAATGTGGAAAGCAGAGAGAAGGCCTTGGTCCAGTCTGGCCGGAGAACATGATAAGAGAGGCGGCACATGGGCGCTGGGCCTTTTCGGGCAGCCTCAGTTCATATACGTCTTTTTTTATTCACATATCTCGTAACAATCACTCCTCCAAAAAACCACTTCATTTTGTAGAATCCAAAGTTCCATAGCCACATTCCACACCCCACAAAAGATTAGAAACCCCCTCCCCTCCACATTCATCATATATATTTTTTTCACGTATTGCAATGACTGTGTCTAGAGGTTTCATGGGAGTTGTGACTCTCATTGGTATTGTGATGAGCATCGGCCTTCTTCCTCCTTGTCAAGCACAAGCTCCAGCTCCAGCTCCTGCTCCTGCTCCTGCCAGTGATGGTATGTCTACATCTCCTTTTTCATTTTTTTTTCGCCTTATCCTTCCCTTTTCTTTGGCTTTTTTTCTCATTACATTTTTCTTTGGCATTTTTTGGCTTTAGGGACGTCAATTGACCAAGGGATTGGGTATTTGCTGATGGCTCTGGCTTTAGCACTTGCCTATCTAATCCACACCATGGATGCAACAACGTCTTCTTACTCATAAACGCATTGATCGATTCCAGTTTGCTTTTTCGTTCTCCCTTTCATTTTTCTCTTTCGTTATTGCGAAGATTCAAAACCATTTGTTGGCTTGTTGTAAAGAAACTCCTCCGCTGAATTGAATTGAATTGAATTGTCGATGATAATTTTATGTGTTTCCGCATTTTCATGTTTCATTCTCCATACTCTCTACGAATATATAATTTTACACAAAGTATAGGTTGTTATTTTCCTTTATGGTTATAGATACTCAAAACACCGAAACATATCATACTATTGTATTAATTGCCGTTGTTCTTTGTCAAGATGGGGGCTTTATTCTGGGACCAGAGCATTGCATTTCTGTATACATATGAAAAAATGAACCCTCAGGAGGTAGGATAGCAATCTCATCAATTTTAATGTGACACCTATTGGACTAGAGGCAGTGATCATGCAAGAATTCCTGGGAGATGGTTTCCCGCTCTATGGATGATCACCAACCACCTATCTCCCCGGTCTCCACCTAAATTTTGATGCAAAAAGACATGAAAACATTGCAGAACTTTTCTCACGAGCTGTAGGAACCATAAACAGTCCCCATCCTGTTTGTCTTTTGCTGTAAAAGTCTACAAGAATAGATACTCGATCGCTTTCTTCTGGCACGAACATGTTCAGCAAACTACTGTTCGGCGTCCCCAAAGAATTCCCGTTGAAGACCGTGTACAGTCGATTGAAAACCCTGAGATTCCTTTCGCTCTCTAGTGTTTTTTTTTTTTCCTATGTGAACCGTGAAAGTGTTCAGCCTGGCCAATCGTCAAATAGTATACCAGAAAATGATCATTTATTCCCAGCATGTCGCTGGGTTCAAATCATCTCAAAGCTAGAGATGTAAGTGCAGTTTGCTAAATTCCGGTGTTGCAGTACAACCACTACGTCCCTCAAACAATTAGGAGCAACAGTCTTCCCATGCCAAAACAGAGCGGAAAATCACCATGCAGTTTTATTGTTTTCCATCAAAGATGCACCTTCCCGGACACCCCTGGATCCTTGCCAATTAAGCCAATGCCGCCATCTTGTTCACCAACCCATTAGATGAAAAGGATCTTCAAAAGATATGGTAAGAGTCAGAAATCGAGTAAGATGCTGAAACTTCTCCTTCACTGTGTCAAATGTCTCTGCTCCAAAGCGTATTTGACAACTTCATAAAATGAAACAACAATCCCCACTGAAGGGCCTGCCCGGGCCACTCGAGGACCAACTCCTGTAAAAAGTCCCTTTATCCCTCCATCCCTGTTACAAAGTCAGGGTGAGTTAGAATAGGCCAAAAAGGACAAGAACCAAGGATTATATTGATAAAAAAAAAAAAATCTGAAACATATGCACCAAAAAATTTAGATAAGATAACAATGCTAGTTTCTCATTCTTAAAGTCGGTTGCTGAGAACAAAAATAGAGCCTGTAGAAACAAATTCTTAGACATGAGATTTTACAAATTCAGGCCTGGAGACATTTAGTTGGCATTATGGACCAGTATAACTCAGAAAACAATCGAAAAACAGAACTCATTTCCTACAAAGCGCAATAAAGATTCCAAAAACCATTTGAAACGGGAAGAAGAAGGGAACAAAAACATCATCTATCAATCTAAGTGTTCAGAGCTCTCATTTATAGCGAAATCAGAGGACAGCATTTTTGTCCTAAACACGAAATGCATTTCGGTTCAGTAATGATCTGTCATTTTCACAATTCACATTGAATGAGCCTCTTTTTTAAAATGAATGAATGATTGAATGAGCCTATTTTACAGGCTTCATATTAAGAATACAAACAGGTATCTAGGTCAGATTCGTGATATAGACCAAGGGACTATAGCAAACATTTGAATTATAAACCCTGAACACACTGCATACTAATCTACTTAAGACACCGCTCCAAAGTCATGCTACTAATACTAACCCCAAATTTGCCGGCTTTCCCTGTGCAAGTCAAAGAGAAGATGATGAAATCCAGACTAAAAGAATAAATCCCAGTCTGAACCCTCTTTAATCATTTTACCAAATTTCTGTGTTTAACCATTTATACATATCATCCGAATATGCAAGCCTAAGAAGAAACAGAACCTGCAAGTTATACCTCCATATCTCAAGCAATGTTTGTCTTGTGGTCATCCTCAATGCTCGTACAGGATCTTTCTGGAAATTATGTGCAAAAACACGTTAGACCAACAATTGTAAACTAGGAAGAACGGATGCACTAGTATCATTAAGCTGTCTAATCAGCAAGTGACCTCGAAGCAAGTTTTACAGATATGAGTGTTATACAGCAGAGATGAACAATAAACCCTTTCATAATCAACCAAAAGATGGAAAATATCATCAAGTATCAATACAAAGAGATCAATCAAATATTGGCTTCTGAACCATATGAAAAGGATTTGGAAAGCATAGTAGTATAAATATCATTGAGCTTAGCCACAATTAACAAGATCCAGGAACCACTGACTAGCCCAAAATCCAAGAAAACACCAAATTCAAGTTAGCTAGCTATTAACTTTTTCCTTCAGCAGGATTTCATGCATCAAAATCAATGCCTAACCAATTTGAGAGGATACTACCCCTTACCAACGGGAACATCCCATTGTTCAATTAGCATTATGTACTGCACACTCACCGGATCCAATTCACTAAACCAATTCTTTCGTGATTATTTTCAAGTCAACCAAAATGCTAATCCTGCAAGACTTTAGACAGAAGAAACAACCTCTATCTGCCGCCAGGTCCTTGCAACATCTAAAGGACATGTAAAAGCAGCTGCAAGACTTCCTGCAGTAAACCCAGCACAGAAGTTTGCCCCAAGGACTCCACCTACACTTGTCTTGTCACCCATCAGGCCCAAAATTCTTCTTCTAGCCTGCACCATTTGAGGCAAAAGTCTTATAATATCAACTTGCAACTAAACCTAAAACATATTCTACAGATAACAAAGAGAATAAGTGCTTACTGGCTCAAGTGTTGACCAGCAAATTGCAGAGAAAGGAACATCACGAACAAGCTGTGCTCCAAGTCCAGTCCACAAGATACGGTAAGTTTGAACTGCATAAACACAGGTCCCCAGAATGTGCAAACATCAGGAGTACAATTTGAAATTCAAACCAAAATCAGTAAAGACTAGAGAAAAATCAATTAAATCATGCATACTACTTCTAGCAAAATTCTGGAACTGTCAGGAACAAAAAATAGGGGAAATTTGGACACTATTAACCCATGCCTTCCACTGAACTGTAAAACAACAGATAGTACCTATCTAAGTCAAATTCTTAATGAGACAATTAAATGACAGCACTAAGACCCTCAACAATGTTAGCTAACCATTTTATAACAAGATATTGAATAAAACTATAAATATACGCAGAAGCATGACAAAACAGTAGAAAATTACCAAAACCTAAATACTTGAATTTCTAAAACTCTTACCACAATTTCAAATGAAAAGCATATGTCAAGTCTAGAAATAGTTAAATACACTTAATATTTCTCAAATGCAATCCTTAAAAGTCGAGGAAGATCTCTTGTTCGATAATCTTAAGCATGCCAACGTAAATAAAATCTCATCTAGTGGGACTATAGTAATACATGCATTTCTAAATAGTTAAAACATGGATAACCTCCATGTTATCAAACTTAGGTAAAGCTATCACATTTCATATCCCTGTTGCTAGGTGGTGAACTTTTTCGAGACTGTGATAGACACAGCAAGATTGCCCACTTTCAAACTGAATTGTGTCCCTAGGGCTATACAGAGCAACTCTATCATCAAATGGAGGAGAATAGACTTCAATAAGTTCTAGGTCACAGAAAGCAGACAGATCAAAAAGCAGACCAACAGTGTTAGAACATTACCAACTAGGATGGTCGATGGAAAATATCCCATGTCAAGAAAAGAGCAGTGTGATCATGCTTAGGAAGCTACGGATGATCTCCAATTACTTATAGAGTTCATGCAATGTATTAGAAGCAATCTCCCTTGTTGTGAAGATAACTGGTGATATAAGCACACACTTAATTCGATAAACATTCAAAACATATACCTAATACCAATAGAAAACTGCATTCACTAAAATGAAAAATTATCTCACACGACATCATGGAATATTCACCACATGAGAACTCAACAATGATTTATGAGCATACATACAAGTCTGATGGTTGTTTGTGCTCTTGACTGGAGAAATGACCCCAACTAATGTCTTCAATACTCCTGGTGGCTTCGAACCAGGCTGATGGTCTCTAAATGCCTACGACCAGAGAAGATTTCTGAAGAATCAAATCCAGAAGGAATAAAATGGACACATGGTCTTAACAAACATTACACAAACAAGCAAAAATTCTTTACGCAGAAGACTTTGAAACTAATCATAATAGACAAAGCATAACTTGAAAGACATAATTCTTCAAGTAAGCCAACCTCTCTACATTTCAGTTATTCGAAACCCTCATTCTTTCATGGCAATTATGCCATGCATCAAAAAACAGCAATTAAGTTCTTTGTCTCATATTAGAATCACTAAATGGACTCTTTCTCAGAGAGAGCTCAGATGTCCCAGTGGTTGAAAGCAAAGATATTACACAAGAATCTGCAAATTGTCACATGTAGTATTGGTATGAACGAAAGCACCTGCATTCGCGTTCTAGCTAGATCAACAGGGTAACAAGTGATGCAAGCTACTGTCCGCGCCAAGGATCCTGCAACTAACGGGACATATGGCATCACAATTGGAGCTTTCTCTGCAGCTTGTTCTTCCATAAAGTTACGGAAAATGTCATAAAGGGGCATATATATTCCAACCTGTAGAAGAGTGCTCTTAGTTAACTAAGATCCTGAGTATATAGTATTCTGTTGAACCATATAACTTCAGTAGAAAATTTTTACATTACAAGCAAATAATCACTGCAGTTAATGAACTTACAGAAGGGACTGCTAATGCTAAACTTGCGTTTGTGCCTCTCCACAACCTAGTGAATCCTTCCTGCAAACAAATGAGACAAACACGAGATAAGGATATCACAATGATCAAGTATAATGATCCGATCAGCAGAAAATGGAAGAGGATTTTTTGATAGAATTTATGGAACCAAGCTCGTTTTTCGGGAAACCACTTAGGTGGTACAAGATCATAGACTAAGCTTCAAGACATAGCAAATCTACAATCTTTGCTACAAACATCAGGTTAAAGCGAATCTATTACCTGTTTATCCATCAGAATACATAAAAAGATAAACATATATTGCTTTATGAGAAGGCTGAGAACTGTTGATCAAAATCCATCAGCAAAACGAGGTGGAAAGCACCATATTTCTTCTAACCCTATAGTTGCTACTTATTATAGAGAACTTCATAATATCATTCCTCCATATCAAACCATAATGTAAAAACTTCTTGTTCATTTATCAATCAAATAAAAGATTTCCAACTTATGATCATTTTGTCGGCCTATACTCTCTAAGCTAAAATGCAGAGAACTTCCCATGCATGTCAACATGACAAAATACACATGCAACATATAAATTCGTAACTTTCACCCTCAGAAGAGGGCAACAAGTCTATACTATATTGTAACACAATCTACTTACCTGACGTACAACTCTGTAGAGGACATCTAATGTTCCTTTATACCGTGAACCTTCTGAAGAGCAAGTTGGTACAGCATGAAAAACTGCATCAGTAGATGATGGATTGTGCTTTATATCTGGCAGCATCTAACCACAATTCAGGGCAAAAAATCACTCAAAATTTCCAATAACAGGAAGCAAGTACAATTGTAAATCATAAAACCACCAAAACTATGTACAACTAATGGATCACGAGAGAAGAGAAAGCTGAAAGAGGCAACAATTAAACTCATTTTGTTAGCAGAGTCAACATAGCAATGCAGTTCTAGACATGAAGGGAAAAGCAAGATGATGGTCTTTCCATGAATGGGAAGATTAAAGCTTTTCATCTCCTTGGCCTTGTAATGATCATCCTGATGTTTCCTCAAAAGGTCTTAGCACCAATATATTTAAATCAGACAGAAAGCCACCGTGTCAAGCACATACTATTTTATGTAACAAGACATTTTTAGGCAGCAGACAAACAGACTAAGGGAAAGGAAGCAGAAAACGAGAAGGATGAAATAACACATATCTGCAAGTCTAATGTCCAACGGGCTATGAAAGGATCTCCACGTTTTCTACAATCATCACTAAAAGAAATATACATAAATTGCAAGTATACTTACACCATGAGTTTCAAAGCGTGATGGATTCCAAAGGTTATCATGGTACGGTACACCAGCAGCCTGAGCTTGCAACCTAGTCTGTCAATTGAAGTCATAAAGAGCATTCAAAAACTTATCCATTGGCAATATGGTCAAAAAAATGTAGAAAAAAAAAAAAGAGAGAGTGACTTTGAAGTCAACAGGAAGTTAGAAAAGGTCCCAGTCAGAGTTTCTAGGATCAAAACAAGGTAACAGTAATCTGTTAATTGGCAATACTAGAAAACCGAAGTCGGACATTTGAAGAGTAAAACAACCCAATCAATGAAGCAAACGGCAAGAATCTCAACGAAGACAAGCAAAGAAAAGAGGCTGAAAACAGCGAACGATAGAAAGAACAAGATAACAGAAAAAATAATTGCTTAGGAAAGCAGAATTCTTTTTGCATCCAACGAATATTTAAATATGACTATACAGGAGGACAAAGCTTTATTCGACAAACAATGCAGCTCATTCATATACTGATGAATAACCAGCATAAGCACCTCTAAAAGCGATAATCCAAAGGAAACACAAAAAAAAGGGCAAATGGATAGTCTCCAAAAGTCACCGAGGTTCAAAAATTTGATTGAAAAAATATGCCTTTCTAAAGCCTGAAAACAAGGCAAGAACCCCTTTTTTTTCGCAACTAAGGGAACAAGGGACTGGAACAATTTAATGTTAAACTGGAAAATCAAAGACCCGGTGGAGGAGGCAAGGAGGGAGTCCGTTACCTTGACAACATCTAGAGGATTAACAATGATAGCGGAGAGGAAGGCAGCTCCAGCAGCAGAGACCGCCCTCTCTTTGAAACTCAAATCAAAATCCGAAATTGCCTTGGCACTATGTTGAATTTGGTCTTCTTTTGACATATTATCTAATTCACCACCGCTCCTCGTTTTCGACGCCGTCGCTGCAACTCTTGACAACGACGGCAAGCCCTGCCTCGACGCACTTGATGAGGTTGACGACGATGAACCCACCACAACCATTAGTCTCCAATTTTGATACTTAAAAGATTTAGCTCTTTGTTAAAAGCTAAACAAAGAATTGTTTTTGGGATGTTTCCGTCTTCTGGGTTCAGTTTATTTCGTATCAATTGATTGGATTCTTGATTTTGTTAGCATGTCTAAATAGATGAGTGAGGAAGGGGTTTAAATAATTTTGCATGGAAAAGGGGAAGGGAAGAAGGGGTGAAGACCGAAGAAACACGGGACTCGTTCGTGGCGCGGGCAAGAACGCCGCCAAACAACAGGAGGGTGTCTGAGATGGACACGTGTCCAGCTGTCTGTGTCAGTTCAATAGGTATGTACGGCGTAATCTCGCTCGGGAGGTTTATGTCACTGCCCACGTACGTACAACAGACTATTGGTTTTCTTGATTTTCTTTTGTGATAGAACATAGAAGTTTGAAATGGAAAATTGCTGTGCCAGTCCAAAGGTTTTTGGAATACTTGTATGCAAGCTTTCAAGTTTGACATACCCCTTTTTTTCTTCTTCTCAAATTCTAGTAATGGAATTTAAGAAGCAGGGAGGGAATAGAGGATTAAAACTTAAGATCTCTGACTTTTCGAAAGTCAATTTAAACAAAGAGTTACGTCTAGATAATGTAAACAATTTCATAAGAGTATATTGAGACGTAACATACAAAATCCTTCTTTTAAGTTGAAATCATCTTTTTGAGCACATATCGCATATTTAACAATGTAAATAATTTGCTACATGAGCAAATCCAAAGGCAAAGTGCAAAATATATATGTATATATATATATAAATATATATATATATATATATATTAAATTGAATCCCTCTCTTGTAGAAGTATTATTGTGCATCTAGATTTGATAATATAGAGATTAAACTGCACTGTCATCCCAAAAAAAAAAAAGTTAATCTAATATTTTCATCAAACCGTTTAGAGTGTAGAGGGAGGGATCATAAAATACTAAACAATATGATATGTAGGCCAAATGGTAGAGAGAGAGAGAGAGAGAGAGAAAATTTTGAATACAAAGTGATCTTTTTGTTATTTAGATTTTAGAGGGAGGGAGGAATCATAAAATGCTAAACATGTTGGTTTAGCATAAAATGATAAAAAGGCACTTTTTTCCTATTTAAGAAAAGACATGTTGGCTGATTCATGTCAAAATCAAATGCCTCGTAGTATTGCCTACATTATAGTGGATAAATGGAAAAGCAAAATCTAAATTGGAGATGCGGGGGATCGAACCCCGTGCCTCTCGCATGCAAAGCGAGCGCTCTACCATTTGAGCTACATCCCCAATTTGTGGGACTAAGGCCCAAATTAAGCTTACAATATCTATTTTCATTTACGTGTTTGCTCAATTTTCTGGTACTAAACTTGATTCCTCTATGATACGTACTTCTAACAAGTTCATAAGCCATCAAATCCTGCATGAGCTTTGTGATATTTTACATTGCCGTCCTGTACTGCTGTCAATAATCCCCCAATGAGTGTTCGGGTTCAAGTTTTGGTCTTTCATGCGTACGGCCGTTCACATCTCACATCGTTTTGATTTCTTTTTTGGAATTTTGAATTCTCACAGCATTGGACAACCTTATACCAATAACCATGCAGGTCATATTCATCGAATCTTTATCAAATTGACCATTACACCTATCATGATTAACCCCTTCCGTTTAAGATGTCAATATGGCTACTAGTAGAATCATCTTTCAAGAAAAAATCCAGCTTTCCTGCAATCTTTTTATCCTCGGGCAAAAGAATTTTTCTTCCAGATCCCTAGAATAACTCTGCCTAGCCCTGTACAAATCAATTTGAAGAAGAAATTACAGTGGATAGAACGACCAGTTTTATGGCTATCCGTGCAACTTGAAACCAATTCCAGGGGTCGAATAGATTACTAATGCAGTACTGAATAACAGAACCAGAGGTTACATTATTATTTGCTGCAGTTTCTGTACCTTATCCATTTCTCTCTTTGAAATATTTCCAGGTGAATGGTGTTTCTTTATCTGCAAACCATGAATTCAACTCTTCAAGCACATCAACTTTTCTACCATGTCCAGGGTACTGGGGCTAACTCTTTCAACGAGGAGCAATCTGCTTGCCTCTAAGCGGGCAAAAGCTGCATTTTCACGCTGCTGCTTCCCGGACTCTAGCGTCTGCGCCAATAATAACAATCGATCTAAGTATCAGCGGCCGTCAAACTTAAATCAATCACAAGTGTTATGAAATAGAATGATCACAAAGAAGCAAACAAAAATGCTCCCCCAATCAGACGTATCATACTTGCTTTCTAGAGTTAGAGAGTGCCTTGCAAACCATATATACGTATGGACTATGGAGAGAGAGTCCCTAACAGCAATCAGTCTTCTCCTCTCCTCTACAGTGGTCTCCGCGATCCCACGACAAAGACCATGCTCGAAACAAATGTTTACAGAAACTGACACATTCATAATGGATTCTTTCATTGATTCTGACGTGTAAATCCCATGTTCTCTCAGGCTTTTATTCAGTTCCGTAATCACACTAAAGCAATGCCGCACAGTTCTCCCATCATCTATTCCTCTTACTCATGTGTGTCTCCATTATAGTACTCGTCCACTTTAAATACTCATTTATAAATGCTCCACCTTCTACTTCTTTGTCAGAACATTTTAGCAGCTTAATTTGCCCTTTTTTTTTTTTTGGTCGACCAGAAAGATTGATGACGGTAGGAATGTAAGGTAGGCCTGCCCCAGCCTCCTTTTTCTGGATTTGGTATTTATTCTCATACTTCTTTCTCCTTTTCTTTGTTGTGTCTGTGGTTTTGCTTTGGAGGGAAGTTTTGTTTGGAACTAGAAAAGGCTTAGCTGTTAATGCCCCACGGTCCTACTTTCCATCACACGCACCATCTATGGTAGATAACAGCAAAATGGCGTCCACCGTATATGATATGGGAACCATATCTACACACTTCTCCAGTGGCTTAGCTCTCAGAGACTAAGGCCGTAAGTTACTCATCATCATATATGGTATGGAGCAAAAGCAGTAGACCGCCCCATATCCGTATGCTTGAAGTCGGAACCATAATGTTTTAGTGTGTATTTCGCTTAGGTTTTATTAATTGTATACACTGGTTTGACATAGCATAGAAAATTTCCTCTTCTTACTGTCACAATCCAAGTAAACTATGTAATAACTTAATTCAGATATAATAATCTTCCATCTTCAGAGTTCAATAAACTTTTAATTGTTTTAAATATAATAAATGTTTTCTATAACTACCAATTGCTTAATTTCATCTTCAGAATTATTATAACTGTAAAATGCACAATAAACTTTTAATTGCTTTGTATACAATAAACATTTTGTACGGTTACCAATTGTTTAATTTTGTTCGTTATATAGTTTCTTAGTTTATATTATGCCAATAATCAAAGTTTTGCACAAAAATTTATATCTTGAAAAAATATATTCACGGGCACTACTAGTCCTATAAAGTTTATCAAAATTTCTGGCTATATACTTATACACTCACTTGACTTTTAATGTTCCTTTCACACGTATTACTGTTTCTGTTGCTTTTCTCCCAGTACAAAAGCAAATGCTAGTAGTAATTAGTAGTCTTTCCTCAAATAATCATCCAATCCAGCCAAAAATCAATAAAAACAATACCTGAAGTACTTAAATGTAGTGATCTTGCGCACACACAAAGAGAGCACGAAATACCTCAGTTCATTACTAGAGATCTTTGGTCGTGGAATGCCTTAATAAATAAATACCATGTTCTATTCTGCAAGTCATGATTATATATCAGGCTAAATAATTTGAAAAAAAAAAAATTGAGACGTATCAGAACATAATGGAGCAAGCATGCATTCATCTGGACCCTGCTCCTCTGATCAGCTTACAATTTATCGGCAAAGAGCATTTGCTCCATCACTATAGAATACCGTGCCATAAGATAAAAGCTGGTTAATTGGTAATTGAAAGTGGACCACTTTGGTCCTACTTGTTTCTGTTCCTGATGTTTCTGGAAGAAGCAAAGACGAGCAATCCACACAAAATTAAAGTAAAGCCCTTCGAGACAGTGGCCTTAATTTGCCACATCATGCGCTTAAAAAATGAAGAATCCAGAAAAAGATCATTACACCTCCTCTTCAGGATGTTCAATCTGGAGTTGCAAACGAATCGAACTGCTCGCGAGCCGATTATGAGTAGCTCGAATCCGAATTCGACTCGAGTTCGGTTAACATCGAATTCGAGCTGATTAAGTCGAACTTAAACTTGAACTCGAGTTCAAAAATACTAAATTCATTAGCTCGCAAGACGGTTCAAACTCGATTATATATATATATATATATTTAATTTAAAAGTAAAATTATTTATATATCCCTAATATTTTATTATTTATTAAGAAAAATTATTATTTTATTTATTTTTTAAAAAATATATAATTATTGTTTTATTTTTTTTAACTCGAGCTTAACATTTCGAGCAGGAGTTCGAGTTCAAGTTTCATAAAATTATGTTAAAACTCGATTTAATTAGATCAAAACTCGACTCGGCTTAACTCGTTTACACTCCTAGTTCAATCAGACCACAAAAGGAAAATGACGCTAATGTAATGCATCCCCCGAGATAGCATAATAATACTACCTATTAGGAGGTCAAAAAGTTGGTATCTTTGCTGGGATAGTTTCGATAATAGAATAGAATAGAGGTATGGATCTTTTTTTTCATCTCATCTTTAAATCTTTCATGCATCATCATTCTTTTTCTTTCTTTCATTCTCATTTTTTTTTCGCTTTTCTTCTCTCTCGGCGCATGAATCAGTTCTATCAAACACCAGTTTCCCATGATGGATGATAGAAAACTTGTTGACGAGTTTCTCCTGTCATGTTTCTTTATCTAGATAGACCCCGCAAAGGAAAAAGTTCATTATGGGACATATACGAATCGAACCATACCTTGAAATATGGTTAAATTACTGTCGAACTTTTTAGCAAAATGATTAGGATATTTGAAAGTATTACAGGGAAATTCAGACAACAAAGAAATAATTTTGTAGTTGAATTTTTTGACATACCACGTTACTTACTGGATTAGTGCCCATTATCATATCAAGTTGGGTCAAGAAGCTCTTAACCAGGATCAGCTGAAGGGACCATGCCTTGCAAGTTGCAAAACGCTTTTCCAAATTTTTCTGGCGGCACATCAACAAATTGAGTCGTAATTTGGACCATGACGTGA